CAGAATAAATTAACAATCTTTGATTATAAAGCAGTAGCATCAACAAACCAGTTCTCATAAAAAAACACTTTCATTTTCATTTCCATTGAATCTAAGATGAAGCAATTGCGTCCTCTTGTGTTTCTATTAGGTTCTTGAAAGAAAGAAGGTAACAATTTCATATCTATTTAGATGCAGGGACAGAAAAATGCAAAAGGCAAGAATTCAAATAGAAGGAAATTCTTGTCACATGTGCAAATGTAAATATCAGTATGAGAGATATGACAGAGTCCAAGATACCAAATAGACTTTGATTGACTCTAGTTATATGTGTAATTACAAGTATGGTATAATGCTTTTGTACACTGAGGCAGAGAGAAAATATAAAATAAAAAATGTACAAAAATCTAAATTTAAATTTTTCTACATTGGAAATATCCGCTAATGAAAGAAACGGTTAATCCTTCACCATCTTTGATATTTGTCTCAGTTTGAATTAACATTTTTTTCTGTCTTTCATCCTCCATATTGAACTCTTCCCTTGTCCAATCTATTTGTGACGATGGCTGGGAACATTTTTTTGTTTTTCCGCCATAGACTTAAGTCCATTTTCAAATTAGAATTTTGAGTGTTTTTTCATTTGTGGCTTTTTTCAACTTTGAGCTCAATTGTCCTGGAATGAAAACCACACATAATTTCTAATCTGGTTTTAGAGAAATATTTGATCTGCCAATAGGAGCATTTCAGAAAGTCCGAAATGACAATCATCAAATCCCCTTAAGGTGGCAGCAAAATCTCATTTTAAAAAATCTGTGCTCCTACGTTGATAGGAAATGTTTATACCAACATATATTTAGAACTTAGGTTTCCATTGTGTTCAGAATGTTTTCATGTTTATAAAATGAAAATATGAGAAGGCGCAGCTTTGAAGACATACAAAATATAGCTGCATTATAAAAACCCAATTCCATAAAATTTGGATACCATGAGAAAAATATAGACAAAAGAAAAATGCTTAGATTTGAAGGTCTCAATAATAATTTTTGTTCACAACAGAACACATCAAATGTTGAAAAGCAAACCATTACTGTACAATGACACCCCCTGATATACTGAATAGTTTGTAAAAAGAGCACAGAGGAGAGGGAGAGTCTCTTTAAAGTAACAATTGGCAGAAGTTCTGTAACCATCTGAAAAAAACATTTTTGCTGTCAATGATGTTAGGATAAAGTTTGGATATTAATAAGACTTTTAATGTTCCATCATATATCTTTCCTAGGATCTTTGAGCAGTACCGAAGTAAAAACGGTCATGATTGTTATGAGCTGGGGTTTATTGGGTTTTGTGTTCGGGTTGAGTTTCCTCCATTTTCTTAGTTGATTTAGTGATTTGTGGGAATTTGTGTGTTTTTGTTGTTTTATTTTTCTTGCTTTAGAATTCCCAATCTGTATTCTGTCTACACCTTATCTATAGTGTGAGTTCTCCCACCTTTTTTCTTTTCTGAGTTTACATTTGCAATTTCGTCTTATGTTTCCTGTCTATTTTTTTCTGTGCTGGCCCCTCGTTTTTTTTTTGAGGGCTTTAGTTTTCTTGTTAATTTGATGTCCCCTACTTTCTGTGTCTTATTTTGGTGTCTATCACAGTTTCCTGTGTTTCACTGGGTCTCCATCACACTTTCTTTCTTACCTGCTCTACACTCATGGAATCGCTCTCCCTACACAAACCTCATTAATGGTCAGATCCTTGTCGAATGTCGCGTCTGGTGTTGTCCGATTCCTCTTTTTTCCCCCCATGCTGGTTACACTGCTTTGTCTTCAGTGTGTCACCATCTCATTTGTCTTTGGTTCTTTTGTTCACCTTAGTTTTCTAGGATTTTGGCTTTGAGTTTTCCCATTTTAGTTCAGTGTTATTGTATCCTGAGTTGTTGTTTCTATAAAAAATGGCCTACGTTTTCTCAAGTCCCCATGTTCCCCAATTGATTGGCTTGCACTTGTATCCTTATTATATCCATTATTTTCTTGTCCTCCCTGAACAAATACATTGAAATGATCCAAAAATGTTCAAACAGGAAAATATTATCCTCAAACTGCGTTGCACAAGGAGTACCTGGTCTATAAACTCAATGCCAATAAACTACAAAGCTCTTGACAATGTGAATACACATTCTCTGCTTAGACCACTCCACATTTACAGGATTAGCCAGACTGTTTGGGTTGTCATAACAAACCACTAAATCTAAGTGTTTGTAATTATGAAGAACACATTATATGTGAGATTGTCATTCTGATACAGTTATGCATGTTCTAGGTTTAGATAGACATGCTTCCATCAAGGTGTCTGCTTTTCCCGGGAGGCCAGTGATTATTTCTGCTAAACAATATCAGACTTCATCCACTGTTTGATTTCTAACAGTGTGTACGCTTGAGTAATCTGCTTCAAGACTGTGATTCTAATTGAAGACTGTGAAAATGAATGGGAGAATCAGACAAAAATCACAGACATTTACATAACAGTGGAATTTGGCAAGAGATGACACATTAAATTGGAAAAACTGCAAGTATCATACCCTTAATTCCCACAAAACAATGAAAAAATGTATTAAACAGGTATCTGATGGGACAGAGTGGTAAACACTGGCCTCTATGTCAGTTTAGTTTAGACTCGTTCCTGACTTTGAATTTTTTTTTGTACACAAGACACAATGGTTGGTAACAATATTTTTAAATAACTTAACTTAATTTTCAATCTTTTTTATTGAAAACATGTATAGAAAATTCCCAAACTTCCCACTCTGTTTTCCGCTGGTGTCGTCCATTCATGCAACTTTAACCCCACATTGACTTAAAACAGGGTGGGTTAACTTTAATGAACTGAAAAGATCAGCGTGGCCACAAGAGTCCTCATAAGTACGTGTTGTGGAAAAGGGGAATGATCCCGGCTTCCTGCACTGGGGACAAAACACGTCCATCAGTTGAGAGTTTTCTCACGCTGCGCACCAAAGCCACACACTCGGAAATATGACGTTAGCGGAGGATACATAAACACGGAAAAGAAAAATACACGCGTTTTTGAAGAAAAAACCTAGTGTGATTTTCCTTTTGGAGACATTATCATCTCAGCTCGGCTCATCTCAGAATCCTTTAAAGCGACCACCGGCACGTAGCCGAGCAATCAGCTTATTTGTGTATCCGCAGAGAAAATGGTGAACTCCACTTCTCTCCGGCATCCGTCTTCCTGGGTGTCACTGCGGGCCGCCCCTGTGACGACGGGTCACCAGTGCTACTTCCTTCTCTGGTGACACCGGGGTCAGGGGTCAGAGTGGAACATCTGTTTGATTTTCCTCTCCTACTGTACGCGAGCGTGTTTCTGTGCGTGTAGAACAGGAAAAGAGGGTGAGGGGGAGTGTTTGTGAAACCCCTCCGGGAGATTTAAGACCACGGAACCGTTGCTTGTTTTGTGCGCCTATGTGAAATGACTTCTGTTACTCCCGCTGTGGAGGCTTAGATTTATTGATATTATCCCAAGTTGAAGGAAACATTCTTTTTTTACGGGGGTGGGGGGGACAAAGTGAATCCCAATGATGTTCATAGCTGAATCTGAAGTGTCAAGATTTTGCTTAAAGTGTTTGCTGAGTCGTCAGTAAGGTTAAACTAAGCCTTGAGGAGTTTTTTGTAAGATTAACCCTTTAAAGCCTGATCCAAGAATAAAACAAAACAGAAATTTACTTTTTTTTGTTTTTAAGTCTTTATTTAGCCTTTTAACAAAATATGTAAAAACAAAAATACATTTTTGATATTAATAATTTATTTATTTATTATTTATTATTTATTAATAAATTATTTTTTGTGTAGTGTTCTGCCCCCTGTTATCAGGTGTATCTGATTGTGTACAATAGGATTTTGAGCAAAGTTTTTACCATTAAATTATGCAAAAGGTGTCAGACGCAAAACATTTCAGAAACCGTATGTATCAAATATGATACATTTGGCTTTATAGGGTTAAGTTGTGTGTCCGAGTGTGTATAGGATGGAGGTCAACCCCTTCCCTTCACAGCTTCTTGGGAAAACCTTGTGGATGGGAATCTCTTTACATCATCCTGTACTGTCTAAATACATGTACAACCAACGGGTGAATTTCTTTAGATAAATCCTCCCACACAGCTTTTCCTCCACTTTTCTGTCTCTCTGTTGCACTCACAGACACACATTCATTATTCCACCTCTGCCCCCTCCCCCTCTGGTTCAGCTGCAGCCCCTGGGCTCTGCTCTCTCAGCTGGGAGACGGCACCAAACGGAGTCCCAGGCTCTTTATCCCGTATCAGTAACCTTTACTCAACATTGCGCTACCATACTGAGCTTTTCAGATCATTGGTCACCCATCCTCGAGGTCAGATCCCCATACGGGGGCAAGAGCTATCGTCTTTTCGGGGTAATTGTCAAGAAAGCCTGAGAAAACTCACGTAGAAATTTATTTTTGTTTGGCGATAAAAACTGCTTGATCTGATTAATCTAATCAACTGGACTGGACATCTTTGGTGCACAGCAGAAACACACACGTGTGTGTACATATATATATATATATATGTATTGTTTTTTTGTTGAACTCATTATTCATTTTCTGTATCTTTATTTTTATATTTATATAAAGCACTTTAAAGGGTCTCGAACACAAAATACGCTATATACATAAAAATGCACAAGACAAAATATCCTCAGTTTTCCAGCATGTCCCTGCACATCCACAGAGCAGCACATTTATGAGAAGAAGGAGGAAAAAAATAGAAGACAAAAACACCACAGAAACATCAGGCCTTTTGGACGCAGGGCCAAACCGAAGCCGTAAGCCGTGATAAAGGCCAATGCAGCTTAAAAGTGCACTGAAAAACGATGTGACCTTTGGCATCAGCATTACACTTACATGTATACTCAACAAAAAGTGAGACAGATTTGATTTTTTTGTGCAATCCGAATTTTATTGCGAGCTGTACGTGATAACCTAAAGCGACCCTAAAAGTGTCTCGCATGCGCAGTAGAAGGTGCAATAAAGTAATCTGTTTATACCCACGCTTGGCCATGTCTTGGGAAATGCTACCAAAAATTGTTGCATATATCGTCCACCATGGTTGTCGTGTTTAGCATTATGGCAACAGAATTTAAATCTGAGTGCCGGGCTCTGCCCGACACTTTTGCTTTGCCAAGGGAGGCCTGTCAGGGTGAGAAGCCTCCCTTGATCATCCAATACTGCTTTATTATCTATTTAAGATTTATTTTTGTTACAGAAATAATATGGTTAATGCCAAACCTCGACAGGAAAAGAGAAAAAAAAGAGATCCCTAAAACAGGAAGTGAGGAAAAAAAACAACAAAACAAAACCATCCATCCAGCTGCTGTATCTGTAGAAAGATGTCCTGTAGTCACCGTGGGCATATACCCGAGGGAGAACCTGCAAACAAACACTACAGGGACACACACACACACACTAACAAAAACAAACAGCAAAAAAATACCATGGGCAAACCCGAGGGAGAACCTGTAGGAGCACCTGCAGGCAGACACAAGGAAGAGTCACACATAAACAGGCAGCCACAACACTGATAGGAATGACAAACATGATATATTTCAAATTTTGCACGCCAACTGCACAGAAGCTCAAAGGTGTGTGTCTGGGCAAATTAGTTTGTGTGTTTGTGTGTGTGTGTATACGCACAGACGTGCAGAACACGCAACCCAGGATCACTGGTGTGCAGGTCAGATAGACACAAGCTGGCGCTACACGCTCAGGTCGCGTTGGAAAAGCTCGGATACGTATGGGATTTGTGACCACTTATCCAAGTGGGCTGGGTCACAATTGAAAAAAATTGTGTGGTTTACTCTGTCATGAAAAAATCAGATACAGGTCGCATCAGGTCAGAAAAGTCGGATTTGGGTAACTTAAGGCTTCAGTGTGAATTGTAGCCATAGTTCGTAACCGGCTAATGCTTAGTTTAAAAAAGCCAATTCTGATTTTCTAAATACCCAAAAGCCGTCCAATAAAGGTTTTTATTTCTCTGCTTCAGTGGAAAAAAAAGAGTTATTTCAATGAAAATCTGTGGTTTTGTCCCCATTTTTTACTTATATATTACAAGTAATACATAAATTATAGCAGACTCAATGCCTAAACCTAAATACGCCTAAACCTCGTGAGCACAAATTAGACTAACAACAATGAGAAAGCTCATTAAGTATGTAGCACACCTTCTTCTCCCAATAAGCAGCCTTAATAAAATATAAAATAAAAAAAGACCCAATGGTACTCATGGCAGGTGTTTTTTTAAAGCTCTTCTCTCTTGTCCTGATTTGTGTCGGTTCTCCCACTTGCCCTTGATGGGCGACATGTCATTACAGTCGCCATTTAATTTTGGAGCTTAAAAACATATCTGAAACCATTTTGGCTCTTAGGTTCCGTCGTACTTATTCGGCTTTAGTTTGACCCATTTTCCCCCGATGTAGCCTGCAATGAAACAATTCAATGCTACACCCTGACTGCTAGAGTGCGCGCGCGTGTGTGTATACGCTTTCTTTGCTACTAGAGCGCCATAATAGTTATCCAGAAAGGACAGGAGGAGTAATATGCAGGCATTTCCTGTCGGTGTTCCTTCAGCATAAACCGCATCATAATAAGACGTCGCACGCGGGGCTACGAGGACGCGCTGACCCCAAAACCTGCGTCAGGGGTCGGGTAAGTGTAAGCCTCTGGTTTTCCTTCTTTCCTTTTTCCCCCCCCTCTAGCTGTGAATCTCTCACAGCCGGCCTGCAGCATCTCTTCCTCGGACAAAAACCGACGTCTTCTGTTCAGGAGACAGTGTTTTACGGTGAAGACGCCAGACTTCATGGAAAAATGTTACAATTTGAACGAATTTAGCTTAACGGGGGAAAAACGTTAACTTTAAATTGAAGTTTGTATGATATCTGAAAAAGTAAATTGTAAATCTTAATTCCGATACGGATACTTTACACGGAGCACATTTACCTCATAGTAATATGAGATTAGGTCCCCATTGACGCTCCAGGTCGAGCAGGGATGTTGAATGAATGAGACGTTAAGGAAAATAAAGCTTTATTATTTATAGGATTAATTTATCTTTTTTTCTTCTTTTTTTATTGCCGAATGGGAAAGCGCATCTGACACGTTTAGAAAAACACGAAAACACTGTGTATCTTTGTCCGTAATCGCCCGTGTGAGCAAAAACGTTAAATAAAGCATTCTTCGAAAGGTATTTTGACTGGCACTAGTGAATTGGATGACTGACGATAGAATAATTTTTGACAATTGCTCCAATGCTTTCTATTGACATAATGTCGGTACAGGACCTACATATTCTCGGTAAGAATTATATTCTTACATTATAGAGATTGGCTGATGATAAAATCTACAGCTATGGTTATGTTCGCTTGAGTGCACTTCTTTGACCTCATCCAAGGTCCTCCCTCTTCTGCATCTCAGCGGATGCGCGCGTGAAACCGCGCGTGCATCTTTTGTTTGTAAAGGTTTACAGGGGTTTTGTGGATGATTTTATGGGAACCTGCTGATCATGTCTCACCACAAAACAAGATATTACTGCAAAGAAATGAATCATTATTTTGTCTATTGTCTAATATTTAATCCTTAGAAAATAGTTGTATCGGTGTGATTTGTATGTATTGAATAGATAAAAACTATGGGTCGTTCAAATTTAATTTATATGCCATAAATGTACATCTATATACATACTGAAGAATTTTGAATTTGGATTATATTTAATATTATCTCCGCAGCAGCTTTGTAAACTCCATATGTGACCCTCGCGTGGGTTTGGATTAGCAGAAGACTATAATAACTTCTCTTCTCACCGTCAAAGTCGTTAAAGTTTGGTAATCTGATATGAGGCTCAGTTGTTAAGTTGGCTGAACTTGACTAGCTTTCACCGGAAGTAGTGTAATCGACCCGTTCAAAATAAAACGACCTGCTTACTACAAGTGGAATTGAAATATCCACCATCAATTTTCTATACCGCTTTTTCCCAACGGGGTGGCTAGGTCATAGTCACAACACCCAGATCCATTCTGAGTAGCTACACTGCATCATGGTGTATTTATATCAGCTGCCTTATGGTAAGAAAGGTTTTTAGTGAAATCTGTGTTGCACTCACTTGTTTTCCTGTCCCAGTGTGGCATTCTCCTCCTGTCGGAAAGGATCATATTACATGTTAATTTTAAACTGAAGCAAAGAGTGACAGTAGAATAGATCAGCCTGCTTTTTTGTGTGACAGAAAGCGGAATTAGTTATGATATGTTGCTGCTTTTATTAAGTAGGTAACATCCATGGAACTGCACGCAAAAGATTTCTGCAGGGCAAAGCTCGTTCAATGTAAAATTTTCAATGTAAAAGGCTTGATGAGTTTAGAAGAACATAATACTGCTTACTAGCCTATAGAAAACATTTATTATGTAATATCCAGGGAGTTAGGCATTGCTTAGCCACCTGCTAAGGCAGGGTCTTCTGTTGTCTTATTGGGGTTGATTTAGCTCATTTTCACAGAAATGTTTTGGTTTGTTTGTTAAATCAGTCAACTCTGATCTATTTATCCTTCCCACAGGAAATGGTGCAAATTCGAGAGATGAACCATTATTCCCTTCACGTGACAACTTTGGTATGAACTAATTTTACAGAGTGTTGTTGGGCATATTTGTCGTTGGAAGCTTGTCAAAAGCACACATAATTTGTTCATATTTTTGTAGTAACACACAAAGAAGTGACAGGCCTAAAACAATTCTTAAAGTTGGTAAAAGGACCTGAAAGCTGTGTCGCTTAAGAATATAAGAGAAAGGCGGCATACATTTAAAGATTAAAGAAACATTTTTGATAAACCTGAAGAAACATTCACCAAGCCCACTTAAAAAACAGATTTCGGGTTCAGACCGTGCTTGAAAGTAAAAGTACACATACCATGAGGGGTTGCTGACTTTTGCACAGTTCTCATATCCAATAGTCTTTGCTCAGTCACTGACTGAAAAAAAAGCATTAAAAAAAATAATTTGTTACCCTTTTTACTTTGAAAGGAAAGCTTCCGGAAGCTGTTTGTCGTAATTATTGTAACTTGACACCGCTGGCGAAAGACGGTCAGCATAGAGTGGAGCAGCTGATGATCTTGACTTGCGGAGCTAAAAATAGTCAACATTTTTCACTGCAACTCTGACTGTATTTTATTTCTTGCTCTTTTTGTGTTTGCTCTTGTCTCCTGTTTGAAATTTAAAATCCAGCCATCCGGAATGAAACGGCGTCAGTGACGAACAGTGCTTTATTTCGAGGTAAGACACTTTGGTATTTAATATCAACAATATGTCTTTCTCGTGAAAATAGATACATTTGAACGACTTTAAATAATTTAACTTTCATTAAGGAGCTTCATTTATCATGTGAGTATTGAGTTTAAGTATTTGGTTCTAGTAAACTGAATTGTAATGTAAATTAAGTATTGCATTTACTTTGGGAAAATGCTTCAACAAAGTTTCAGTAAGTTATGGCAGACATATCAAATGTAAGATGCTATTTTAAGTTAAGATAGTTGATATTGGACTTTGGCAGTTTGAATTGTTTAAAATAAACAACAAGGCACTAAAATGTCTGGCCATGGCATTCATTTTCGGGATGTACTGTGTCTAAATCTTGTGAAAATGTTGTCTCACAAAGGCACAAAGACAAAAATGTCTCAGTTGATCGGAACCTAATCATTAAATGCCACTTACAAGATAAGATTTGGAAACTTCTTTTCCCCCAATACTGTTCTTAAAATTAATCTGAAAGTATCAAAACAGTATGTTTCAGTCAAAGCCAAACTATTTTGATTAAAAAATCAGCTTATTTAAACTTCATGTGAACTTCTATATGCATATATCGTTTGCTGACTGTAGCTCTACTCCAATAAAATCTTGATCTTTTTATTTGAAATGTTTTACTTTATCTAACAAAATCCCCATTCAGGTATCTCAAAGAGAGCGTGCCATGAATTCAGCTGTGTATATGTGTAGGATGTTTTCATAGAGTCTGGTATCATTTGAAATATTCACCCAAATCGTGTTTTACAAAAGAAAGAAAACATTTTCATGCTGTTATTAGTTATTAGTGATGGCAGAAAAGGACATCATTTTCGATGCCAACCAAAAGAGTGGACGCTTTACTCTGCTTAGTTTGGCTTTTGTGTACATTGATTCCTAATTTCCTCCGTGTGTTGTCTGGTGTTCACAGATTGGCACACAGGTTTGTGTGGAGCTGGTGGCATGGCCTTGTCGTTTTGTGGCAACAACAAGGATCTCAATGCCTACAGCGTGGAAAACGGCGTGCTGAACAATGGGTGCTTCGTGGACGCCCTCAACCTGGTTCCCCACGTCTTCCTGCTCTTCATCACCTTCCCCATCCTTTTTATCGGTGAGGAACGGGCTTACGGGGCGAGCCCAAAGTCACGGAATGGCATTTTATTTCAGAAACAAAAGGGGAAACGACATATCTGAATAGCCCGGCAAGTAATGGGCTATGTCTAAATCCTGGCCACCATCTTGAGTTTTTCAGTGTGCTGTTTCCGGTGTTGAAAGAGTCAAATAGTTATGCATCACAGGCCACATTCCTCATTGTTACTGCAATTTTCTATGTTGATAACGTTTAAACCAAAAAGAGATATTGAAAATCTGATTGTGGCGATGGATTTCTAGAAAATTATGCGCACTTCCCCGTTGGAAAAACATGCTTTTGAAGACGACCACGGTCAAGATGAAGCCTAAATGATAGGCCCCCTCACTCATTACTTGCTGGGGTGTGCAGACATGTCATTTTTCTTTAGGTTTGTCAAATAATTTAGTTTCCTATGGCTTTTGACTGACATTGTACTTAATTCATGACCCACTCAGAAGAGTTTATTCCAGATTTTCTGCATGATTTAAATGCTAAAGCCGCGTTTTGCTTGGTTAAATCTGAACCAACCACAAGGCTTATACAGCGATTTCCTCTCGGAAAGATGAGGCCTAGGTGGACGTGTTTGGTTAAATCAAGATGGGAGTGTGACATTTCGGTTAGAATTTCAAAGCTCGGTAAAGAAAGAGGTGTTTTTTACTACAACATGAAACCTTAAAACTGAACTGAAATTGAATTAATTGAAAAACAAGTTTGAACGTTGCCCTTTTTTGTGTCCAAGGAAAGGTTGTGCCTGAAATTTTATTTTTAAAAGTGCTTGCATTGAGCTCTCAAGAGCAAATCTGTTTAGCTGTTTTGCTCAGCTTTTCTGTTTAACAGTTTAATCATCTGATTTGAATGGTCGCAGCACAGTGATGTGGTGGATATTGCTGTTTTCCAAAAGAAGGTTCCTGGTTTGAATCTAGGCTATCTTCTTTTATCCAAGAATAATTATTTTGGGTTAATTGATGGCTATAGATCAACCCTACAAGTGAGCTGAATAAGTTGTTTGTGTCTGTGTGGTCTCTGCTGGATATTGGTGAGCCATCCAGGATGTGGTCTCTCTGTCTCTGTCTCTCTCTCTGTCTCTCTCTCTCTTTCTTGCCTAATGGCTAATAGCTCTGGTTCCACCCCAATGTGGCCCTGTGCTAGATAAAACAGATATAGAAAATGGATTGATCAATGATTAGAAATGAATGAAATAACATCCACCTTTCCTTTCTGATATACAAAACCCAGAAATGTAAGCTTTCTTACTTGGCAAGATTTAGACTACTGGACACAAAATGTCAGGCACAAATAAGTTGCACGTAATCAAGAAAGTGCACCACAGCAAGTTCAGTGAATCCATTTCCCCACTTTAACTGGATGATACAATAACCGTGTACACACTTTCTAATGCATGTACTTATGGAATAGTTGAAAGAGTAAAGAGTGGTCAATCCATCCTTATTTGTGTCCATAGGACAGTGGGTTGAAATTTCTTTTTGTGGACTGCAACTCATTTAAATTCACAAAATGTGGTTTGGGATATTTTTTACAACTAAATTCTACAGATAGGGTTATCGTTTTGCTGATGAAGCACAAAGACGTCATATTATTGATTGAAAATTGACATTTAATAGCAGTCATTTAATTTGATTTGTTCACCGGTTGCCATGTTGCACAAACAGAATGAATAAAGTTATGAAAGAGAATAGATAAACATATCATAGTCTGAAGTTGGACGAAAAAGTAAAAGATAAGTCTTAACAAATCAATTTTTAAATGTATTTATCTCTCTGAGAGCTTTTTAAAATTACAGTTAACAGTGTCCCCGTATTTTCAGTCAATGCTCATAAAACCCATGCGGCCGGTGGCTTTTTATTACAGCTATCGTACAGCAAGCCTCTGTCCCCAGAGTCACAGGCTACTGAGGAGTTGAATCTCTGCAAATATACACTTGCGTTTTTAAAGAGCGCCCTGTGATTCTTCTGCCAGCCACATCTGTCAATCAATAGCCATTCAAAAAGCATAAGATTTCATTGGCAAAGCAAGGATTTCTCAAAGTGTTGGCACTCACTTCCGAGTCCAACTCATTGATGAATAGTCAGTTACTGAAATTGCGCTAAACGGTCATTTAGGTTATTTTAAAAACAAAAAAACACACAGCATTTGGTTTTTACGTTTTTTTATGTCAACTTTTATTTATTTGTTTTTTAAAATTAGTATATTGTATCTAATAGGGGTAAAAAAGCATGACTGAAAATCTTCCTCTTCTACTTGAACATTAAAACCTCCCTGACACCGTGTAACATGTAGAAATTTAACATCTCTTGGTTGTGTTGAGAACGGCCGCGTTTCTTCAGCGAATGGGATGTGACACTCTGTTTTTTTTATAAATTGTCACTCCACAGGTTCTCATCTTCCTCTCATTTAACAAGAAACGGCTTTTAGATTTCAAATGTGCCCCTCTGTGGTCTTTAGTTTAAATTAAACTTGGGAGCTTGACTGTTGTTAGAAGATGGGGGACTTTAAGGAGGTGGTCTATAGACAATATAGTCAATCTGGGTGAACATGGTTCTGTGTGCTAAGTCCTTTTAAAAGATCACAAATGGATTTGGTTAATTCCTCTTGCCAAAGCTGCCTTCAACTCCACTGCTGACAGTCAGCTTGAAAACAATGATGGTATTAATGCCTGTTATTCTATTCCCCACTTTAGGCTAACAAAATCAATACAGGATACAGTTAATATACAATACAACCATTAGATTATCATCACAATACAGTAGCAGGAAATTTGGCTGCAGCTGCTTAAAGTTAATCATCTCATTCCAGAACTGTTGTTATAGTTGCTGACAGCAAATCCCCGCTCTCCTTATTTCAGCTGTTGGGATGGTCACTGAGAAATTCTGTGTTGTCCGTAGTGTCAGACAGGTGGAGCGTCAGCCGATCATAAATAATAGCCATAGAGATATGAAACTGGGTGCTGGCACATATACTGACAGAAAAAAAAAGATTACCTGCCCGCTAAATGATTTCAGCCAGTCCTTTTGCTGTGGTGCTTAGCAATGGCGCTAAGTCCAGGAGAATGTCGGGCTTATGAGGGATGCTATTAGTCAAAGGTCATTAAAAACCGACAGTTAGATACGATGTGAAGCATTTCACTTGACATTTTGAGGGGAAGGTTTTGAGTTATCGGCACAGTTCTAAATATTAACAGGCTTTATGCCGAAAAGTTCCCATTTTTGGGAAGAAAAACGTGAAAGCTCAGATTTCTTTTATCTGTTTGATAGTGTTCTCACCATATATTGAAATTGGCCTTTCAACAATTTGGAAGTGTTGCAGATTTGATAAAAGTGCTGCCAAAGGCCAAATAAGGATATTCAACTTGAATTAGAAGCAATGGAAAAATAGGTGGGTTATTACTTTAATGTTAAGCTCACATCAGTCTGTGTTATCTGACTGGAAGACCAGATACGTTGTGATATTACAGTTATGTCCATCTGTCCTTTGTCAGACACAAGCATATATTTCCATCCTTGCAAGGCAATTTTTCTTTCTTAACGCATAACCCTTATTTGATTATCAAAACGAGGCGAACCATGACCCAGAAATGAACTCTTCCCAAGGCCACATGGGATAAAAAACATGGATTAAAAGTGGCCCTTAAAATATTAGCTGACAAGTTAGCAAACAAAAACACACATTCCTTTTGAATTGAAAATTTGTTTGAAAATTATTTTTAGAAGTAATTTGACTTTTACTCCGGTTCTCTCAGTGCACCACAGAAGGCCATGGACTTTGGGGTCAGGTCCTCTGTACGCCACCATCTGGAGTTCTCGTAAAAATGCGCACACAGCCTGAGACTGGCACTTTATTGCCCACATTGGAAACATTAATCAGCTTTAAAGGGGTGTTGAATTGGAATCACATCTTCATCCCCAATGGCCCATTGAAGAGTTGTGGATTTCTTTTTTTATTCCCGTGCTTAAATTTGAACGTTTATTTTAAAGTTGTGGGGAAAAAAATTGCAACACTACTTCCAGCCCCTTGTGGTCAGCCTTTTTCATCTTTTTCCTCCAGTTCAACTCATTCTAGTTTCACTGTACTGCACATTGGAATTATGAAGCCAAAAGCCTTTTTCTCTTTGTTTCGTTTGCTGTTGATAACAAGCTCTATCTGTAAGGGTCAAATAGTTCTAAATAAACCAGGAGGAGTTTACTTAAAGTTTGAATATTCTGAGTTCTCAGTATATTTGATATGATCTCAGCGACTCTCCCATCCCATGTAACTCATTAAACTGACCTTCTTCTACTCATGTAATCTTCTTCCTCCTTGGTTATCTCTTCTCTTTGTGGGATCTTAGTTGTGTTCTCATATCAGTCAGAAGTTGTGGGTTTTAGTTACTATTTCTGCATTTCTTGCCTTGCCAGACTTCTTTTGGTTTGGTCTCTGTTTAAAAAAGCAGATTTTTTTTCCATCAACCTCCTTCATATGCATCTTCTTTTTTTCTGTCCAGTATCAACATTGTTGTCGTACTTAGTGTTTTTAAGAGTGTGTGTATGTGTGCTTGTGTGTTCTCAGTAGCTTATGGGAATGACTGTGACCACCAGCCCTCAGCCTGCTCCCCATAGACTCACTTATTGAAGCTTCCTGGTTCTTTTCCTTCCTTTTGTTTTGTTTTATTGTCTATGTGTTTCCCAAATGGTTCGGTACATTAAGTCAGGAATAGAAGTAAACCTCATTAAAAAAAAAAAAACAATACGAAACATTAAAACAGCGGAACTGTCTGATAATTAATCATAACGATTCGATTTTTTTTCTTGGAATTTGATTAACAGGAAGTCAATTACAACATGCTGGTAACCACTTGAAAGTTAAAATAGATATTAAAGCTGTAAATGACAGATGTTGGTTTCAGTTTTACTTTGTCAAATTTGAGAATATGCTGTAAAGCGTGGCAGAAATGGGATAGTTTGGAACTGTACGTAAAGATTTTTTGGTTATAAGCATTCCTGACAGAAAGAGCGGCCTGATGAGAGCTAAACTTTAAAAAAAAAGTTTTTATATGATTGATAAAATGAAATTCTGTTATTTCTTTCTTTCTTTCTTTCTTTCTTTCTTTCTTTCTTTATTGTATTGCTATGTATGGGTAATGTGAAATGGGTCACTATTCTGAAATCTCTCACACTCTTTAATAAATATAAATAAAGAAGTTCGGTGTTCCTTATTGTATATAGAATTTGTGTTTGACCTTTTTTTTTAGAGATTGTATTAATACTTTTCTACTTGAATTCAATCTTGTCTTTGGCTGTAATATAAGCAGCAGTGAATTCCTTTTTCACATGGATTCAATTTGTGATTGCACAGATTTAGCATGCAAACAAAGTGGCTGCTAAACCAGTGTGAACCCAGTTTTTTCCAGCTTCCCTAATTTATTTCTCTTTAAAATCGCAAATTTGAACCAATATATGTACGCATTCTCATTGTGATTGGTTATTTCTCCTTTTTGCTTGCGTCCACATTCGTAACTTGAGTCTCGCTGCTTGTGTTTATGTGCCAGGCTGGGGCAGCCAGAGCTCTAAGGTGCAGATACATCACAACACATGGCTTCACTTCCCTGGACACAACATGAGGTGGATCCTCACCTTCTTGCTGCTGTTTGTCCACGTGTGCGAGTTCGCAGAGGGCATCGTCTCCAACAAGTGAGTCCACAACCCACAGTATTGAAGATCATCCCCCCATAAATCCATCCATCCATCCATCCATTTTCCACCGCTTATCCGGGGTCGGGTCGCGGGGGCAGTGGCCAAAACAGGGAAACCCAAACTTCCCTCTCCCCCGCCACTTCTGCCAGCTCCTCTGGGGGGATCCCAAAGTGTTCCCAGGCCAGCCGAGACACATAGTCCCTCCAGCGTGTCCCGGGTCTTCCTCTGGGCCTCCTCCCGGAGGAGGAGGAGGAGGGTTAAAAATGGTCCTTTTTCTGTTTTTGTTAAGGAACTGTTAAAATGGCCTGGTGACCCTACTAGGAATAAGCAGTATTGACAATTAATGAATGAATGAATGATTGCAAGTTAAAGTGGCTTTTGTTTATGGGATACTTCTCTAATTTCTTACATTATATGTAATTTATAATTCTGTTTGCTTCTAGTGTGATGACAACCAACCACCTTCATCTCTTCATGCCGGCTTTCATGGGTTTCATAGCAGCCACAACATCTGTGGTGTACTACCACAACATAGAGACTTCCAACTTTCCCAAACTGCTACTTGGTAAGAGGATGAAAACCACTATGTTCCCTTTTGTCACTTCAGCCCTTCCTGGAAACTCTCGTTAGCCTAACATCCAACACAAGTCAGGTGGCATCATGACCCCGTATAATTTTTTGGCTAAAACGGCTCGAGTGCTGACAACTTTTCTCCTCTAATAGGTAGGTTGGAGGCTTTATAAACCTCTAAGCTTAACTATGGGAAAGAGAGATGCTTGATGGGTATTTCATTGAATGGAAAAGAAAGTTTACAAATCACAGAAGGGAAATTTAGGATACGTTCACCCCACAGCCTTAAGTTGCCCAAATCCGATTTTTGGTCAAATCCAAATTAAAGGTGTCCTGTACGCACAGTAGAGGATACAGTAATGTCACACATAGTGGACGTGCTCAATGTTTGTGGTCCAGCTGTTCCTAAAATGGACAGGTTACACATCCCCAGCCCATTTTGTCTCCTTATATTTGGCCCAGAGGCTCTTTGTTTTTCTGTGGCATTGGAGCCAGGAATGTTTATCCCCACGTTTGGTTATCTCTTGGGAAATGCTAACAAAAATGAACCGGTTCTAATAAAACCCCTCAGGTTTGGCCCGGATAGAGCTATCCCCCCAAATACAAATTAAGCCAGACACCTCGCTCTCTCTCTTTCCCCGTCTTTTGTGTTATCTTTCACGCGGCAGGAAGCAGAAAAGTGGCGTTTGTCCACTCTCAGTGATGTGCAGTTCAGATTAATGCAACCTGGCTGGACAGACACTAGTCTCATTTAAAAAGACGTATCGGATTCAGGACCAGATATCCATTGGAGGCTGTTTCAATTATTAAATTAACAAATAAAACCAAAACTGGTAGCAGGACTGGCGTCACTGATTGTTACTGATGCTGGAGGACATGTCTTCCTGTCCTGAACTCAAATACACACTGAATTATTTATTTTATTGTATATGTGGAACTGTAAATTTGTTTTTTTTGGTCTTTTTTTTACAGCAGCAGCTGCAAAGAAACAGCCTTTAAGCATAGAACTTTCATTCTGTCTTACAGTCCTCTTCATCTACTGGGTGCTGGCGTTCGTCACCAAGTCCATTAAGCTGTGGAAGTTTGCAGAGTTTAATGTTGGTCTGGAGCACCTGAGGTTCTGCATCACAGCTGTGCTGGTCATCCTTTATGGACTTTTGATGGGCGTGGAGATCAACGTCATCAGAGTCAGGGTTTGTAGCTGAGTGTTATCCTCAAGAGTTAAACTTACTGAAAAACACACGATACGTTAATGTTCTTGGTGATGGTCTTCATTGTGTGGAAATTGGACAGATTGCAAGCTACATTTTCAGGGGTTTGTCTTGATAACTCACTGTTTGTGTATGGCATGTGTCATTTTAATGCCTGATTTGTTTAGATTGATTTTATTCCTGTGTGTCCCCATAGAAATACGTATTCTTTGCCAACCCTCAGAAGGTGAAACCACCGGAGGATTTACAGGATTTGGGGGTTCGTTTTCTGCAGCCATTTGTCAACCTGCTATCCAAGGTACAGTCTAAATCATAAAACCAAAGAGCGTCCCGGTTTATTTGATTTTCTCCAAGCCATCTCTGACTGCAGGAAATGTCAATAGAACAATATTTGGCAACAAATTAGAGAGAATAAAACAAGCACTTGGCACACTTTAGGCAACATATTGGTGGATGAATCCTCTCATAATTGGAGCCCATAAGAGGCCAATAGAGCTGAAGAAGATCGGCAAGCTTCCCATCGCCATGCGAGCCCTCACCAACTACCTACGGCTCAAAGATGCCTACGAAGATCAGAGGGTGAGCAAATTGAGGCCTGAAACTGATTTCTTAGCAATTTTTCAGCTCTCTTGATTCAAAGTGGTGCTTTTGTTGAGCTGTTTAAAAAAAACAAATCTCCATTTGCCTTTTTCCCTACAGACAGCTGAAGATCCTGAACGAGCGCCGTCCATCTGGCGCTCCATGTATCGCGCGTTTGGCCGGCCCATCCTGCTCAGCAGCACCTTCCGTTACCTGGCAGACCTGCTGGGCTTTGCCGGGCCACTCTGCATTTCTGGCATCGTTAAGTACCTGAATGATAAGGATGATGGCGGGCAGGCAGACAAAGTGAAGGTGGGTGCGTCTTTGCAAGGTGTTTTCTTTTTTTTATGATTGTGTCTGTATTTATGCATTTAGCATACATTTATCCAAAGTGACTTACAATGCAGATACAGTATTTCAGTTAGCATCTGTCTATAATAATGTTAATAATAATAAACGCAATAAAAAACGCATTTTATTTATCACCAAATCAGCAAATAAATACAAAACAACATAAAAAGGAACAGGAATCATGCTAAAACACTAAGTAGATGACACTGAGCTAAACATTAAAAGCAATTTTAAAAAGGCTTGTTCATTCCCCCACTTCATTTCTGATCAGGCCAACATTGTTTCCATACTGGCAAAATTAGTCTTTCTTTTTCTTTTTTTCATACTGATTAAATTTTTTCAGTATTTGATGTTTGCGTTTTCACTCTGTTGTCTTCTGGCGTGGTTGCACTTCCTGCTCAAGCTTTACTCCGCTTTTAATCTCCTTTTAACGAAAACACCTCTATTGTATGAGTCATTTAGTCATTAAAGAAAATGTTTCATGAAAACAGTTTGGCTTCTATCCAAGCATTTTTGCCCCAATGTTTGAAAAAACACTATTCAGAGAGTGGGTTAGCAATTTAAAGAAAATAAGGTCAGCACAGATTGTTCCATATATGTTCCATGAGATTTGTCTTTTTGAGGGTTATCTTTGTAAATTATAAATGCTTGATGATACTCTAAATTGTGTAGGTTGTATTGAATTGTCAGCCTGTTGCACTCAGGCCAACAGAAGAAAGTCCTGCACACTTGTCTTGACATTTTCTGACTCTCTGACTTTCACTGATTTATTTCGGTATCAAGAAACAATCCTCCAAATCTCTTTTTAAATATTCAGAAATTGAAAATCATAAATATGAAAAGACATGAATAAATTCAGTTGAAAATTAATCAACAAGTATCGAGCACCTTACGTCTATTAGAACCCGTCTTTAGAAACAGATATAAAGTACCTCCTTGTTACTTCCACTATAGACCGATGTACCCCTCCTGGTCTAGATCAGATTGGCATAACTTGTCTTACCCAACAATATTTGCAATTTCATAGTGTAACAGCTCAATAAAGAGGCCATGGCAGACTAAAGGTACGCTCTCACAGACAGTCCACTTGCCAAAGGAGGATCTGCTGGCAGAGCTCAGACATGAACTCCCCTTTAATTCGTGCCAGCTTCCTCCAAAAGGTCACATTGCAGTCAGAGCTCGTAGGGGAAGCTGAGCGGATGCTTTTGTAATGAGTATATGTTTTCATTCACTCCATTTCGCTGGATGCTGTCGCAGCTTATGTGGACAGCGAGCTGTTGTCAGGTGCTCGATTGCCCGTTTAAGTGGGTATACTTGGCAGTGAAGAGAAAACATTGAGCAGGGATGCATTTCTAAGTGACATGGAAAATTCCCCACTCAGCTCACACTGTGTGCCAGTGTGATGCAGACAGAGGGACTGGTGAGCATCACACGGAGGTTTTTGACACTGAACTGCGTGTGTGGGATTTAATTTGGTCTTGATCGTATGCAGAGCGGGGACACTTTTTACGCATACATATTCACATTAATAGGATTTAACTCCGACATTAAATATGTGTTTAGATCATTATTTGATGGTATAAATAAATGATTTTTAGGTCAGTTGAATGTTCTTCCAAAAATGTATTTTTTCATGTCTGTCAGTAGAGGATCAGAGTACTGGCGGTTTAGTTTTAATTGTCACTTTCCAAATTGTTGATAACAACAGGCAAAGCAAGCATCCATGGTCATATTTCATCTTTTTATATCATATACTGTATATATATCAGCTATGTAATTACTTAGAATGGATACCAAAATTCCCAGCCCACCCCTACAAGATCAATAGATTGTGTTCTTCACTTCCAAAACAAACTAATATTCTGAGGTTTACAGTGCAATAAGGAACAACGTGTAATTTAAGGGCAAAATCTACAGATCTGGTAAAGGTTAGAGCCAATTGATGGATTTACAGCAGGAAGAATGGTAGGCACACACAGCATCACAACAAGGCTAATTTTGGAGCAATTCGAGGACTGAGCTGCTTCTAAAGTTACTTCTCTGTCCATGTTGCAATATTCATGCATTTCTGTAAATGATTTCAGTAGGGAAAGGCCATTTGTTCAGTCTAGCACCACAAAGTGGTTTTTAAATCAAATGGTTGACGCCCTCCTTGGCTAACAGCTTTGGTATATTTTCAGTCAGCACTTGCATTAGTAAATGACCTTAAAAGATATGTGTGAAACAACGTAAAAAGCTCACTACCTATGAGTGAATTTTCAATGCATTGTCACGTCTGGTGTCTCGTCATGTCATGATTACCCATTGTGTACACCTGGGGTTCCCCTCCTCATGTGTTTAAATAGTCCTCATTTCCCCTTGTCTTGTGCGAGTGCGTTCTTGTCCGTCTGTCCTTCGTCACCCCCACGCCAGGTTTGCTTTTTGTCACAGTTTTGCCACAGCTTTGTCACAGTTCTGTTAATCTTTATTTTGTTACTTTGTCATAGTTTTGCCTCAGTCTTGTTTGCTTATTGCTTTGTTACTTTGCTCACAGTTTTCCACATCTTTGCTTTGTACTTTGTCTGGACATTCACTCTGTTTTTTGCAATAAATCTTGTCTCCCCTCATCTCCGCAACTGAGCCCTCCTTCAAGACCCCCCACATGACATGCATATTGAGTATTGAGTTTAAAAAAAGAAACTACCACTCCATTGAAAGATGAAGTTATCCATCAGCTCAATTATTAGTATACTTTCACAAATGGGCTTTAAATTATGAAACAGTGTTCGAATGTTTACTTGCAGTCGTGTTTTCTAAAACATTTATTAGAGATGTTTCCCAGAATCATCTATGAGACTTGCGGTTTCTGAGAGGGATAGTTTGATGTCTGTAAGGGACTGTGGCCAGGAATTCTTGGTTTTAACTAAATGTCTGAGAAAAGTGTGTGATTTTTCTTTTTTTCACTTTTTTTCATGCTCGTAGGAAAAATATTTAGGAGTTTACTTCATGTCCTCCACTGAGCTTCTGCAGAACAGTTCCGTCCTGGCTGTTCTCCTCTTCTTGGCTTTGGTCCTGCAGAGAACCTTCTTGCAGGCCTCGTACTATGTCACCATAGAAACAGGCATCAACTTGCGGGGAGCTCTGCTGGTGAGTGAAACATCATGGAATGGGTTTCTTTAAGGATCCTGCATTCATGTGTGCATGGTTGTGTGAAAATTATCTGATAAATGTTTGAGAGTTGACTCAAAGCTCTGTAGGTTGAGTGTTCTCTGACCAACGTCATCCACCTCATCTGCAAGGCGTTTATGGGAACTGCTTACAGAACAGTTAGTTTATTATGACAGCATGAAGAGGATTTGTGGCACACACAAGAAATCTGCAAGAAATGCGAACGCGAATGGGGGAGGGTAAAACAAAAAAAAACGTTTATGTAAATGGCTGTTATCAAAACATGCTGTGAGCATTTCTGGATAACTAGGTTATACAAAGCGTGAATTATTTCATGAGTCAACCAGTGGGATGAAGCCTCTGGTATTTCAGACAGTGGAGCTGACATTTTCTGTAAAACCCATGGACACAGCTATTAGTAATGGGAGCATTCACAAAAACGTGTAATTTTATGGCATTTGAGATAAATCTTCCTGTAGTTGTTAAGTAATGTAACAACATCTGATGCCAAATATCATCTTTTGGGAACGTTTATAATTACAATTCATTTCCATAACACCAATGGAAGAGTTTAAGGTCTTACTTCATGCCATTTTTCCTTAAAACAAATCTTAAAGTGTGCATCAGTAAAATTATGTTTTTACACTTTTTGTTTCAACTTAGTTTGTTGAATAAAGGCCAAGTATACAGGATCTAGCTGTTGTACAGGTGAAATGTAGTTTTACGTGCTCTTATTGAAGTATGAGTACATCGATTTCATTTAGCTAAATATTTGGAAAACTTATTGGCTTGCAGATTGCAGACTTTACTTAGCTGGTACATCAAGCTAATCGGCCGTGACAAGAAAGCTGTCTGAAGGGATTATAAAACTCCATGCACATAGTGTGAAGGCTGCAAAAGCAAAACAAAAGCTTTGATTAATGAAGACGTCTAAAAACCGATGACAGGATGCCAAAAATGGTCGTTTCCACGTCTATTTCAAGGGGAGAACACTCCAACCTTGCTCTGACCCTGCTTATAAAAAGCATGAATAGAAAATGGATGAAAATGGAACACCCATTTTTACTGGAGAACTTGGAACCGTTCGGTGTAGGTTCATCCATCAAATATCACTTCTTTGATAAATCCCTCCATCCAGTTGGCTCACATGGTACCTGAGAGGCAGAGCACAACATAGGTTGCCATGGACATGGCCGACATAAACAAACAGACAAAGTCCATATGAAACATATTTAGATGAGTTCCAGACCGAAACAAAATTTTCCCAGAGGGAGAAGTGTTATTCTTTTCTCTCTCTTACCCTAATTCGTCTCCCAAATTTCATGACCATAGGTGAGTTTGGAGCACCGATAGAGCAGCTTTGCCCTCTGGCTAAGCTCCCTCTTGACCACAACAGATCGAAGCCATGCCCTTATTAAAGCGGGCAAAGCCTCGGTCTGTCTGTCCATCTCCCGCTCCAACCTGCCATCGTCCACAAACAACTTAAACTCCTCCACCCCAGGCAGGGCACAAGCCTGAAGCAAGCGTTCTATCTTTTTCAGGTTGAGAGTCATGGCCTAACCCTAACCCTAACCCCGTCTTGGATAACAGCAATGTTGATGTTGACTGTTCAACTTTGTTTTTGTTTTTTTCTGACTCACAAAAAAAGATTAAAACCTCTTTAGTTTTATCATGGCTATTTATGTGTGTTTCACTAACTAGGCGATGATTTACAACAAAATACTACGTCTATCCACCTCCAACATGTCAATGGGGGAGATGACATTGGGGCAGATCAACAACCTAGTGGCCATAGAAACCAACCAGTTGATGTGGTTCCTCTTTCTCTGCCCCAACCTCTGGGCTATGCCCGTACAGGTAATGAAGTTATACATCTCTGAATACTTCTGGATGTGATTTTTAATGCTGTAAATACACTTTCAAATGTTAGTGGATCAAGCCAATGATAAGACATTTCATTCAAGTCTTTTTCCTGTCTTGGCAGATTGTGATGGGGGTGATCTTGCTATACTATTTGCTGGGCTGGAGTGCTTTGGTAGGAGCATCTGTCATAGTTCTGTTGGCCCCAGTCCAGTATCTTATTGCTACAAAGCTGGCAGACACACAGAAAAGCACACTAGTAAGGAGCAAATATGTCAAACTGTTCCTTGCTTTGGACAGCATGACATCTTTAACAGAAATTGCAAAACGTTTTCTTTTTCCTCAATGGAGCTGTTAAACAATTACGACGGGGTAACAGAAAATTCGATCACATCTTTCAGGAACACTCGACAGACCGGCTGAAAAAGACAACGGAGATCTTAAAGGGCATAAAGCTGTTGAAGCTCTACGCCTGGGAGAATATCTTCTGCGACAGCGTGGAGGAGACCAGAGGCAAAGAACTCACAAGCCTCAGGACATTTGCTTTCTATACATCAATGTCTAGTAAGAGAACATTTAAAGTTTTTATTTTGGGGGGATGGGGGAGTCAGACTTACAAGAAAAAGGAGCACAGTTCTAACTGCTTTGCCTTCTCAATCAAGCTGTTTTCTTTTTACAAATCAATCAACAATCAATACCTTGAGAGTTTGTGGAGAATTACGTCTCCTCTGTTGTTCTTTACCTTCACAGAAAACTGAAGTTCTCACCTCTGGAAATACTTACAAACACTTCTAAAGTCTAGACCGGCTCTGCGTATTGAGTTGGATTTAAAAATTCACTGTTACTTTTTTTTTTTTTAAAGTTGCAGCTCTTATGAGCATGTTTATTCCTCTACTGTAAATTCTCCAGAGTGTTTGCTGCCATGTTCGTATTAGATCTCCTTGGTTGGTTTACCAGATTATTTTACAAGGCACTGTAGCATCTACACAATACATAAAGCATTAACTGTGTGTAAATTATTTCACGGTAAAAACACTAGACTTAGTGCAAAAAGCGTTTTTACTGGACGCTTTGTATGCAGGGCCATGGATGCCTTTTTACTCGAAGCACCCAGTTGAGTCTGAGTGTTTTTTTTAACTCCTGGTTCTTGTCTCTGCCTTGACCGTTTAGTTGTTCATGTTTCTGGATGCATTGTGCACATGACATACATGTTCTAAGGCCTTTATTCTCCCCTCTCCTGTGGCAGAAACTTAACGGGTTTAGGAGTAGTGCTTTTAATTTTCAAATCAACCTAGACAATTTGTTTCCTGCCTCAACACACCTGATTTAGATTGACCAGATTTCTTCAAAAGATTAAGGTCTGCGTAAGACTGCCGTTGTTGCAATGATTGGAATCAGGTGTGTTGGGTCAGGAAAACATTTATAACTCGTAAGACAAGCGGCCCTCCAATGCCGCTGTTTAGATTCCTGTATTACATCAGTGCAAAAATGAACTCCCCGAGCAAATACTTGACTTTGAACTGCTTTGCTGTTGAGCAACCGAATATCCCTGCCAGTTACAGTCTCTCAGTGACACAGCCCTAAATGTTTTGGAGGAGTTTTCACATTCTGACCTCAGAACATGCCTGGAACATTTCAGGGTGGCTACTGTGTGTGAGTATGTGAAATCGGGTTCGGTGTCAACATAGTAGACACGAATCTTTCTTAGACTTGTGTTTCACACGGTTGACCCCTGCATTCAACCCAGTATCATCTGTCCACGCGACGTAGTGCACAACAGAAACAGTAAACACATACACTAAGAAGTTGGTGGATACAGGGAAAGCAAGCAGGAAGTAGTAGTCAGATTCTAAAGTCTCTCTCAAACTCCGAAGCCACTGGGGACCATTTTTTTAAATGTTATTTGACAAAAGTGACTAATTTAGAGCAAAGTCTAAAGTAAATAATCAAATGTCCCTCTTTTTAATGCACCTAATATTGTATTTAAAGGAACTTGAACTATGTAGTAACATTTTCAATTGAACTGTTTTTTACTTCCTTTTCTTTTTGCACTGCAGTAATACCTTTTTTCTTTTTGTATGTACAGTTTTCATGAATGCTGCCATTCCCATTGCTGCTGTTCTTGTGGTAAGGCTATTTCCCCCCTTAACTCTCAGTGAAAAAGCACTTTATGAGCTTTTAAAAAATACTTTCAACTGTTCTCATGCTGCTGCAACTGAGGTTTCCAATAATGTAAAATGCGATTTCCTCTCCGGTAGACGTTTGTAATGCATCACTTCATCAATAAATCGGGTCCCAGTCCTTCAGAGGCCTTTGCTGCGCTGGCGTTGTTTCATATCCTGGTCACCCCACTTTTCCTGCTCTCCACTGTGGTCAGATTTGCAGTGAAGGCTCTGGTCAGGTGAGTTATTCGGATATACTTACTCGTGCACCTGTCGTGTGGGTTGTCTTTTACTTGTGAGGACAGCTGGTGGGGATGTTCTGACTGTTGGAGCCATGTAAAGAGGAGATGACTCCATTGGTAAATCTAATTAAAGGAACCTGATGGAAAGTTGACAGCAGAAAAGCGAAACTTTAAACCCCTGAGAGATTGACAGTAGTGGAATCTTAACAGTATGTATGTTCTTACAGTGTCCAGAAGCTTGGGGAGTTTCTACAGAGTGATGAAATTGGAGATGACAGTTGGAGAAATGGCGACATATCAGTTTCCCTGGAAGGAGGAAAAAAACCCTTGGGAATGGTGAGTGTTAGTGATAGCAAAATAATGAAAAAAGTCAGAAATGAGCACAGAAAGTGGAAAGGATAGCTACATATTTTACAGCCAGGCATGGTTTTACTTACAATGCTATACTATGTTTTTAGTTAAAATTGATTTGGACAAACAAATTCTAGTTCTGGGATAAGCACATGAAGCAAAAATCCCTTGCCTCATATATGATAAACAACTCAAAACGGTGTACCATGCAACTGGAAATCAGAATCAGATGACTTTGAATATTAAGCCGAATCAGTTGAAAGTCTGTTTTGGATGCCAATTATGTGTGATAAAAACCTAATCAAAAGTACTGTCCTGCCATGGTTGCACATAATGGTTATTGATAGGGCAGGTGTCAGGTTTTGGTCCTCACCTCACCATTAAATTGAATGCAATTACATTTAATTTATATAGTAAAAAACAAACAAACACAAAAATATAATTTCCAGGCACTTCATAAATATATGAGTGAATAAAAAACCTCTTCACATCAGTGTACCTCTTCACAAAAGTAATCTTAAACTTTGAGCGATAAAAAATGTGAATAAGAGGACGATATTCTCAGAATATGTTTGTGTGACAAAGGTGGCATGCTGTGAAATCCCAAAGCCCAGACTGGAGTCTTTATACTGTCTGAAGTTTAATGTGACCTACTCATGAGGTAAATATTATATTTCACGGGGATTATCACTGTTAGTACTTGAAATAAATAGTCGGACCACAAAATATTAATAGCCGTCAAAGTTTCGAATAAGACTGTGAGGCATTACTTGTTCATGACTAAGTGACAAGTAGATGCGATCTATTTATTTATTTCTTTTTAGTTAAATAAGCAACAACAATCAAGGTGTCAAAGGTTTGAGTCAGTGTATGAAACAATTACAAGAAGCAAGTAAATCAAATCCAAGTAAAATGAAAGTAAAGATAATTCAAAATCATTAGCTGTAACCATTAACTGTTCTGAATTTGACTGATGATCTCCGGATTAAAAAAGCTAAAAACATGGAGTTTTACATAATTGAGAGAGATTGTTTTAGAGCTTGATAAAGTAGCTCATTTACATATTAAAGGCTGGAAATAGTTTTCATTCTTTATTTCAAAACAAGTTTATTTACTGTTTTTCTCGGCTCAGTTTATTGTCACTTTTTTATATCAATGTAATAGATCAGTCGCCTACCGGATTTCAGCATTCATTGAACTTCTTTATCTAGTTTTGCCTCTCTTTTTATGCTTTGCCAGATCGCCACTATGTCAACCTTGAGGATCTATTTGATGTCTCTTGAAGTTCTTACTCAAATACATATGAATATTTGTGTTTTCATAGTCCTCTGGTTTAACGCAGTCCTGTTTTAAATATTTTGACTTTAACTTTGTTGCATTTCAGCCAATCCTGAAGAAGTATATCTGTTCATAATGTGGGTAATTTAACTCTGTTGCGCAATGATATCACAACAACCTCATATGACGCACAAAGTGAATTCTGTCTTTCATGTCCGTATGCCTTGATAACAATAAAACACGATGTGACAGCTATGGAAACCACTGAGGCCGCATCGTTTTGTCCCCCAGGAACCAAAGCGGATGTAGAAAAGTTGTATGTTTGTTGGTAAATGCTAACTACAAATCTCTGTGTTTTTTCTCCATGTACTCCCACATCACTCCCTTGTCCTTTTGATATCCCTCTGAAGACCAAAGCCTTCAACAGGAAGCAGCCAATGCGCTACCAGATGGACAACTATGAGCAGCCGTGCAGGCGACAGATGAGACCCACAGAGACGGAGGATGTGGCTGTAAAGGTCAGAGTCAGAGTTCATAACTTGGCGAATCACTGGATAAGTGTAAGGATCGGAGACAAGACCCATGTCAGGCTGACATTGTTGATGGCAGTTTGTTCTCAATTGACTTATCTGGTTAAACCGAGAATTAATAAAACATTCCCGAAATCAAAGTGTCAAGCTTAATAGTTTGAAATCTTTGTCCAGCAAGGATGTTGATGTTTTTTTCTTAGTTGTGGTGGAGACTTACTTGGGAAAAAACTAAATTGCAGAGGATAAAGAAGGTTTTTGGAAAAATTGGAGTCATATTTTAAGTTTTCACTTGTTAGGATCAGATATCTTGATGTGACTCGGACTATTCTCTGTGACACACTCAACAGTTCTCACCTCAGCTTTTCAGGCCGTTGCCTGGCCCCTTTACCTTCCTCTTGTCAATTAATGAGGCCTTTGGGGATAGAGACAAAGTTTTCAGACGCATAAATAGGTTACTGCTGACAGAAAGAGGGAGATTCTGTCTAAGTCGAGTCAAACATGTTTTTTTTCATTATGAGCTTCAGATTTGAATATGGAGTCTGTTTCAAGTGTCCAGCTGAATCTTGTGAAATAAGAGAAGGAAAGCCAGCAAATGTCATTACAAACAGAGATCGCCTCAACCTTTTCTCTGTGTTTCACTTCCTTTATGATGTCCTTTGTACAGACGCACTAGCTTGGAACCTTTGAAGAGGCTTAAGTGAACAGCTTATGTAGTTTAAGGTGGATCTCTCAGCTCTTTTACAGTTTCTTTTCAACTCAAATCTTTCTTTGATCAAGTCAAGAGCAACTCCAGTTGTTGGATAAAAATGCTGATATCTGACAACTTAAAAAAAAAAGTCTAATATTTTCTAAGATGCAACTCAAGAAATAAGAACACCGCAAAGACTGGACAGAAAATACACAGAAAAGCAGGAAATGTTCAAAGAAAAGACTTCCATGACTCAAGACCACTTTAAAAGATGAGAAATAAAAAGGAATGGGTGGTGGCTGAATACGTAAATCATGGTGGAAATTAACAATGATAATAGTCATACATGTTTGCAGATGATGTATGTCCAGGGGTCTGTAGGGCCGCATCAGTGTTTTTATGCGTGTATCTTTGTTTGTGTGCACGGACTCTCTGTCCTCTCAGGAAGTGTAGAATTCACACGAGAATTTGTTGCCCCTTAAAGGGCCTTGTGAACGTGTGCAGCCTTTTCTCAGCCCCTCTGTGAAAGGCTGCTCTTCCTGTCTCATCCCTGTGGAGTGACGCTACCATCCAGACGGTCGTCCACTAATTAGCTGAATATGTTATTTCTTTCCCACACTAAACGCAGTCGTAGTAGTAGTTGTGCCTTGTCTTTTGTTTTGAGTCTCAATCTTAAAGTGAATCAGTTCTTTCTACATGTACACCCACCGTTATAACATCACAGGATGGACCCTTTCCTAAACAACTGTTACAAGGTTGTGACCACCCTTAACTGAAAGTTTTAAGTGAAATATGCCGTATTAATACTTATATCTACTATGTAACTAAGTTTTGATAATATACTATAAAGGTAAAAGCTAAAGGGACATTAACACAGGTTGCAGCAAAACAAATAAATCACTTTATATGCCTAAAAACTCAATTACTGGGGAAAAATATCGGTAAAAAAACTGATAAATGTTGCTTGAATCGATATGAGATGGACCTTTGTCAAAGGCTGTATTACATGAGTATTAGAAATTTTAATTCTAATCATAATTTAAAGGAGGGAAACATTTTTTCAGCTTCAAATTTTAAGTCACGTGGAAAGGTTACTTTATAAAAATCTTAATTGTTTTTCTTTATCAAACCAATCTTTTCCTTTGATCCAACAAAGATGTGTATTTCATCATTTCTGTATAAAAATAAAAGGTCCCCCGTGCCTCTCAGTGATGTCATAGATCCACAGGGATATCAGCTTATCACGTCTCCACTCCCTTCTACTTAATAATTACTTTAAAATGAATTTGAATAATAATTAAATTGGTGCTGTAATCATCATAAAAAGAAAAACTATCCCTATGTGATAAGAACATTTCAATTTGGCCAAGACAACTGATGAAACTTTATATATAATCCACCATTTCTTAATTATTTGAATCCCTAAAATGGGTAAATACAAACACTTTGAATAGGCTTATTCTCAGAATTTGCTGGCAGAGAAACAAAGATCTTCCTCTTTGCAGAAGCCTTTTGGGGGCCAGTGACACGGAGAGCTGTGGAGGAAAGACTCTGGGGGATGATAAGATAAAATAAACAATAAATAAACAAAAAGAAAAAAAAACAGCAGATGGGAGGAATGTAAACATAGTCGTAACCGGACGAGGGGGTGCAGAACAAGTTTTAGATCACGAAGTCTGTTCCATGTTTCTCTGCTTTTGGCCACTTTTATCGTTTCCTGAACATTTTTCATAGTTTACTGAATTACAAAATGCTTAAAGTGAAATTGTCATTAATGATAGTATTTGACTTCCCTTATGATCTTTATTCGCATCTAGTTTCAAACTCACCAACAAATATTACATTTTTATTTGTCACCAAAGGATTTGATGTAAATTGTAACTATAAACATCAATAATGAGTTAAGAAAAGTTTTGGATAGGGAGGTGTAACATGATGTGTACCCTAGTTCAAATGCAACAAAACAGAAAAAAGAAGTTACTGAAATGAAAGAAGTTGTAAATATAATTCCTAAATTAAATAAAAGTAAAACGTTTAACGGAAAACCTACAGGGTCAAACTCCACATAATAAAACATGAGATCATGAAAGGCAGAACAATTTGTGATGTGAAACGGGAAATAAAAACTCAACCTAAGAAATAGGTGAAAATTAATGCAAAGACACAGAGTACCAAAAAGACCATTCCATACTTGGTTGGTTAAAATAAAAAATAAATTAAAGCCTTTTGTTGTGTTTTTTACACTTGCTATTTATCCTTTTTTACACAACAGAAAAACTATTTTCAAAGGAAGGTTTATTTTACATATGAAAATAGGTTTTGATAAACTTTATAAATGCTTTTCTTTAAGATATTTCAAGTAGAGGCTTGAAGTTTCCCTCTATTTTATAGCCATAGTTTTGTTTTCAGCCAAAGGCATATGTGGTTTCATCAGGATTAAAAAGTATAGTAACACTTTGAAGTTACAAATTTAGTCAAATAGTTTAGAAAATATAAAGCATTCTGCTGTAAATGTAAAGGGCGTGCAAAGGGAATTTTTTTGGGAGGGGACTGGGCAAAGATTTTTGCAGATTTTGTCAAATATTTTAGTCAATAGACAATGATATGTGGGGAACTTTCACTTATGTAATGTTTTATTTGTTGGTTTTTACTGGAGGAGACTTTCTTGAACTCAAGAACAGCTGAGTTATAAGACAGGCTTGGGTTCCCTCCTGCCATGAGCACAGCATGCCTCCTTTGTATGAGTAAAGCAGCCATCTCTGCAGAGTTCTCTGCAATGACCGCACTGTTAGGTTCTCAAACCAAAGACCAAAGCCTGTACATGAATTGCATGATTTAAATACAACGTGAACAGCGAATGATAAATGAATCCACAGCTAGCTTGCCTAAAATTTTACACTCATCTTTCCTTTTTGGACAGGTCAGAAATGGATCCTTTACCTGGGGAAACAACCAGTTGACCCTGTCGGACATCAGCATTGGCATCCCCACAGGTAGAGCAAACCATTTTTTTCAGATTCTAAAATGATTTAAATCCCGACATTAAAAACCTAGGTATCCCGACATGGAAAATGGACTGTCTTCTGAAAAAAAGAAATAGGTGCATTTTCTGTGGTCTATTTTTCAGTAAAAACCTCAGATCACTGTTTCTAGCATAGGGTGAAAAAACATGCTGTAAGTGGATGCTCATGATAAGAAAGAAGCATTTTTAGCAATAATCAGAAGTTTTTCATCAATAAAAAAAGCATAACACATTCCATCTTCTTCTCAAGACCCATCCATTTCTGATGGAGAGGACCCAATTTCATGGAGAAAAAAAAATCAAATATTTTCTAAAACTGGACTTTGTTAATGAAACCATCTTCGGATTTGTAGAGGACAAACCCAAAACTTTTCTGTCCAATGTAATTGGTGGAAATGACTGCAGTCACGTCACCCTCACAACTAAAAAAAATCATGTTTTCCTGGATCCGATTCAGGAGCAAGAACGAAAGGCTCTTCTATGAATAAAGCACTGCCTTCCAGAGAATATTATGGATACCAGGAAGGAAAGGAAGAGCCAGGGCTGACAGATCGGGTTTACTGGAAGTTTGAACGTTCAAGTGTGGGGAAGTGATCTGGAAACAGGGGGGATCTGAGTTGAAAAAGAAAACACAGAAAACATCAAATTATTACTGGACTTGAAAGAGGTTTATAATACAAGAAAGAGAGAATCGGCCCACGTTTACCACTGAAGGAAACTAAGGTAGATAAACTAGGGTAAAAAAGTAGAGCCGTTGATGGGATCATAGCAACCATTTGTCAATTGCACACTTGCTGGAGAGCAGGAAGGAGCTTCATGGCATCTTTCATCCTTGTGTTAAATAATGGCAACCCCTGACTCTCCAGCTTATCACCACACTATTGAGGCAATGAAACACACCTGCAAACGTATGGAAACCTCGTGTTCTACATTACCCGTTCTCCCATAATCCCTCCGAGAGTCCTCCAGTGTAACTGTCTCAGAAAAGGCTTGTTTTATTTTTATGAAACACTCCTTACGGCCTATTTTTCTGTCAGATTCTTTTCTTTTTGTTACAAGCGGACATGCTTTCTGAGGGGTTCTGTTTCAGCTTTTATAACTAGGTAGACAGATTATAGGTCAGTGGTTAAAAGCTGGAGCTCGCATCGTTTGAAACGTGCAGGCCTGCCGTGACGTTAGGAATTGGAGTAATGCTGCGTAATGCTCGTCACCAACATACCAAAGTGTCAGGAGACCGGGGCACATTCAAGAGGATGTCAACAGATGGAGCATTTCACGTATCACTCACTTGGATCATCCTACGGGAAGTGACTCGCTCGCAATTCTAGTCAAGCTACTACTAGGACATTTGAAATCCTGCCAAAGAGCTGGTGGGAATCTACCCAGAGGAGCTGAAGTGTCCTCTGTCCTAAATACAACTGATTTAGTTTTATAGAGTGTAGGCATTCTTTAAAAGGTTAGAGAACGTGCAGAGATAAAATTTAGGGGGAAAGAACACGAGTGAGGTCACAGGACCTTTAGCATTTAAAGGATTTGTGTTTGTTTTTTGGTTTGTTGCCAACATCACTGCTCTTGAAATCGCCATGACTCCGGTTTGGATTATTCCAATTAGTAATTTTATTTAATGCGTTTTGTTTTCAGCTTGTCTAAACTAGAAAAATGTTCGGACGTATTGTGAATTGAAAAAGTAGTCAGTTCTTTTTTAAATCTGAACATGTCTGATCAGGTTTCCTTTATCCACCCCAGGTCAGCTGACAATGATTGTGGGTCAGGTGGGCTGTGGTAAATCCTCCCTGCTGCTGGCCATGCTCGGTGAGATGCAAGCAATCGATGGAATGGTCCACTGGAGCAAGTAAGTCATTAATATAAGATTCTGTCGAACGTCTGTAACAGCAAGGTTGTCTTTTAGCCTCGTTTGTGAACAGAAAAGAGAACTTTTTAATCACTGAGCTTTGGGTAAAAAGCAGATCTGGAATAGGGCTCGTTGGTGGGCTCTTTGCAGACACTTTGACAGGTAAAAGGTAAAAAAAATCTGTATTTTTTTTCTATGTTACTAATCACGGGAACACTATAAGATTTCAGCTGTTACACCCAATATGGAATTACATCACCCCTCTAAACTTTTTAAAAATCACACCAGTGATGATGTCATACCCTTTCATTTCAAACTACCTAAAAATGCCATCATAAGTGCAATCTAGGAATAGGGATAGGGCTGGATATTGGCTAGATCAAATCCTACCCTCAATTAGTCAACAATACATACATTTTCTTGATTTGAATCTTAGTAGCATAATGGCAATGCTATGGTTAATAAATAAAGTTGAACGATTATGTGAGATTAACTATTAAAAAGTCACATTATCAGGTGATTTTAAAGTTTTATTTGTTCATTTTTAGTAAAACAAACACATACAAACACAAGTGATGTCAGGTTTTAAAAAACAAACTTTCAAAACAAATGTACACAAGTGAAGATAACAATGTTTTGGGGGGTTTTTTAGCCACAGAAGTGTCCCAGGCCAGATTTAAGTTTGATAATCTGACATAGTGTAGACAATATATTTCGAATAATTCTGCAAAAACATCCTTGAAATTGGCCCCAAAGACTGTAAATACTCCATCTCTGATGCAACAATAATGGCACTTCATACTTACTGACTGCTACTAAAGTTTCTAAGTATGGGTAGTATTAAAAAATGTTTTTTTTATTTATTCAAATTTACTTAAATATTTTGGTAGCAGATTTTGCATCAATGACTAAAAACAGACACCTAAAAATGTTTCATTCAGCAGAACATATTTCTTTTGGATAGTAATTAACTAAATTGTCAAACTGTCATGACTGTTTGACTGTGTTTTTTTTAATAGTTTGCTGCTATGACTTCTTTTGTTTTAGACTTGTATATCTGGAAGGGAAAGGAAACTTTAAAAAGTACATTTAAAGTTTAAGAAGTAGCCTTTTTCCTCTGCATCTGGTTCTGTTAATAAAACATCCGACCTTTTGTGACATGTTTGTGTACGGGCTGGGGGCTCTTAATAGGACACAGGTGTATTCTTTAACAAAACACAGATGCAGACAGGAAATAAAACCAAAACCAAAAAAAAAGCCCAAAGAAGAAGCTGGTCTGACATTAAAACACACAGCTAAGAGACAGCATATACATAAAAGGTAAATATATGATATAAATAGAATCCAGAGAGTGTAACAAATCCATAAACAAAGACACTCCGATAAATCAGAATCTATAATGCCAGTGTTCCTGCACACATTAACTTCTGAAACTACAAACAGAGGCTGCACATCTGCATTGTCCCGGGCTGTGCACACTAACCTTCCTGTGCATCTTTGGATGTGTGTTTGTGTGTATGTTTTGCGTGTGTTTCCCTTTACCCCCTGCCTTCATGCCATGTCAGGCAGCCTGATTTTGAGATGGTCCACGAGGGGAACATAAGGTACATCTTTTTTCTCTCTGGTGTTGTATTTTCTGAAACCTTCATCCAAACAGACTTAACAGGGCTGCGGTTTGGTTTACCTTCTGCATGAGCTGAAGTGAAAAGCGGTCAAATAATTCTGGACACTTTAGAGGGTGACATCAGCATGTTGTTCTGTGTTTTTATTTACTTATTTTTTTGTCGTTGTTGTTGTGGAGACTGAATAGAACCTGTGTCTCAGCTCAGTTAAATATGCAAGGAGAGTCAGTTGACTCATTCATTAATAAGTTAATCAAGAAAGGAATATGCAGGGTTTAACTTCACCCTGAAAGGGAGACAACTGTGGACGATCATGCGGTTAAAACAACTTTTATGAGCTCTGAAATGCTGTTTTTGCCCTCACAGTTATCAGCACTGGGGACTCAGAGCTACAGCCCTCAAGACACAAAAAGCACCAGTTTTCTCTACTACTACTACTACTACTCTGATATAGCGTTTAACGATAGCATTTGACTCAAGCTTATACTGCTTGATTTTTTTCCATTATTAACATTTTTTGCGACGGAAGCATTCTTGTTTGATCAATTTTGGTGACGTTTCCTTCGAGGCTAACAAACCTGAACCAATCCAGCCAACCGTTCAATTAAGAATCTGCATTGCAGTATCAAATAAACAGTTATTTGGGTTATACTGCAATGCAGATTCCTAACAGATAATTGATAGTCTTGTTAAGCCGTTCCACGCGTCAAGTTGTAGCCGAAACTACACAGTTCTCACAGCTACATTGTTATTTAGTGAAATCCAGCTTCCAGAATAGCATCTGGGATGTTTACTATTCGCCTCCTGCTCATTGTCTCAAACAACAGCTGGGATACTGATTCATGGGAGCACCAAAACTCACTCTATACTGGAAATGTATATATATATATATATACATATATATAATATGCTACATTACTTCTAGATTGATTGACTGATGGTCTATTAAGTTTTTCAGTATTGAGGTGTGGACTTGTCTAAATCTGATTACACAATTTTAATGTGTTTCTTGAAAGTTCAGTTACTCCTAACTCCCTCAGGTGCAAAACTATGAGACATCATAGTCGAGGAAGCCACAAAACCTAATTATCACAGACAGGCAATGACTGCATCACTTACTTTTCTGGGTGGGAGGGTTAATCCGATAAACACTTGGCAGGGTAACATCATGTCTTCACTGTCTGGGGTTCGACTCAAGAAACATTCTATTTGTGTTTGCTTTGCTTTCTATTTGCTTCACAAAGGAAAGGAAAGCACGCTGCTTTTCCCCTGGCTTTGTGGTTTTCCTTTCTTTTTGTTTTTTGGGTATTTTTTTTGTTTTCCTTTTTACAATTTTACCCTGATTTATCACATTTTTGCCGAGAAACACAATGATACACACTGTTGATGACGGGCAGCTAATTCTAACGCACTGACTTTGACAGTTGGTCAGAGACAGAAGAGTCTGACGAAGACATCAGGAGGTACACCTTCTTCTACTGGTCTACCACTCTGTTTCAGACCTGGAGTGCCCCCTTGACTGCTCATCCGCCTCTCCTTTTTGTCTCATCAGTGTAACTTGTATCGTTGTTGTGTCTCACCCAGAATACTGCTTCATCGCAAGCTCAAAAAAGATTTCTCGTTGTTTGTTGGGCTTTGTTGCTAATGCACACAAACATATGCATGTCATGACAGTTACTAACGAACTGAATTAATTAACTTTTTTTCTTTGTCTGCTGCATTCTTATACAATTTTCCTGTGAGTTTCGTCCCCCCTTTGTGTACAAACAAGGAAGAAATGAGAGAATTCTTGTAATATATCTACAATATAAAGTGCATTTTAACCTGCTGAGACCAAAGTCTGCCCGTGAGTATCAGAAGCACCAACAGCCTGACGTTTAGTTGGACACAGAGTGGAAGTTTGCATGGTTACCAAAACAGGCAAGAAGTGATTTAACCACACGTCTTATACACTGGCCTGCATGTAGCCTATGAATTATTTCCCATTTGGTTTTCTAAACAGCACCTAGAGAAGAGAATTAATCTCACAGGGAGCGTTATATGAGTTTCAAGTCCAGATATGTTCTATAGAGAAGCGTTTTTGAGGCATTTGTGTTGTCAGAAAGGTAAATGATATCCAAAAGCCACATCATAGTTAAAAATGATGAAGCAAATACACACATATTGGTGAAATAACGGGTTAGAAATGTATAACTTTAATGTCCTAATCAAACATGTTTTTAGTGACTGGACTGTCACTTTATACAAACCTTCCTTCTTTCCACTTGGATGTGGTATGCAGCGATAGAAGAAAATATTATTTATTTTGATGCTTGAATCGGAGAGTCAATCCATTAGTTTCGATGTAAAAGAAAAAAAAAACTTTATTTTTTACCAAAGCATCAAAGAAACAACGTTGAGCTGAGATAAGAAAACGACTTTTTGGCTTTTTTTAAAAACTCTTTTTGCAAGCTAAAGACTCCATACTTGGAGTGTTTCAATGCAGCAGCAACAGGGTTGACATGTGTGTGTGTTCTGGAGCAACTACTATCCTCAGTGTGTACTGTCTTCTCTTCATTGTGTTGTTGTTGTTGTTGTTGTTGTTTTTTTTGTTTTTTTTTACACCCCATCCATTCAAGAAGTCATTCATTTTGTGGTGTGTGATCCTGGAGTGGGGTGCGCTTTTAATGCTGGGAGTCGTCACCCTGCTGGTTGATATTTCAGCTCCACGGCTCTTTTATCTGATACAGATACAGATCACATTAAGCCTTTTATGCTAATACTAGATAAGCCAATGTCGAAGCTCAGCTAGCATTACAGCGTGCTGTACGTTTTCTGTATGATCACCCAAAAAATTAATCCAAATGGTCGGAAAATTGCATCACGAAGAACACAAAAAGACGAAATGGGTTTTGAAAGCAAGACAAAAGGAAGATATTAAAATTAAATGTTTATAACCGTTTTTCTGATATTTTTAGATCATTCTGCGACTCCCAGCAGAGTGCTGCAATGGTTGTTGTACTTGCAGTTTTTATGATTTTTGTTGCTGTATCTGCTATTTAATTTTTTTTCCATTTTTGTCGTTAACCATTCGTAGATCATTATTAACCCAAGTCATATTGATCCCTCATATCTGACCTATTTTTTCTTGTTGCGCTGGAGTTTGGTAGTGAATGATGGATTTATGTTTGGGTGCTGTATTCATAAAGCTGATCAGAAACGGAGTACAGATCTGATAGTAAAAATCCAGTGCTCAGGTATAATTTTCTGAATGAAAAATTAAACAAACGGAAGAGACTGAATGGTTACTCTCACAATACGAGTCCAGATTTAAATGCCTTCTTTGACAACTGATACAACCAATGAAGAACAGAAATACATTATACATGAATGGATTCAAGCTGAACAGTATTCAACCTTCCTCAAGTGTTAACCCCTTGTGATCCTCTAGTGGTAAACCTAAAAAACGGGTGAGTGCTGACCCTAACACTAGAGGAAGGTCAACAAGGCCCATTCTGTAATCAAGTAATTCAAGTAGGGAGTCAACAATCCGACTGATAAACTTTAAAAAACAAGGCCTTTTATCTAGACTATGAATTCAGCTCCAAATAGTTAATTATGATTGATTTATTAATCACAAAGCATAGATATGTCAACTGTACTATTGTGTACTTGTACATCCTAAACAACATTTTGTAAATTAAAAAGATGTTTTGATTAGATTTTTATTTTTGAAAAAAAAAATGAGTCATTTTAAAATGGCCGTGGAATTTGCCAGTAATATCAGAGCTGTATTCCTGCTTTCTGAAGCTTTATGAATACAGGAATCGCAGTCCTTACTTGGTGTCTGTTTGCCTCTGTTTTCCCATGATGCACACAGCAAGAACAGAAACTCTGTCGCTTACGCTGCTCAGAAGTCCTGGCTGCTCAACGCTACCGTGGAGGAAAACATCACCTTTGGCAGCCCTTTCAACAAACAGCGGTAAACACAACACGCATTTTGTTACCTTAAAGTTATGTTGATATTTTAAAGAATATCTACAAAGTATGCTTACTGGAATCTGGAAAATGCCTGAATAAGACCACATGTGGATGCAGTTGGGTATTTTTAGGTGAATTGCAGCAAATTATTCTTTTCGAATGCTCTCTTGTATTGGACTGTGGATGCTTTCAAACGGATGTAGTGTCATATTTGTATTTGTATCATATCTTTTGTGCTCCAGAAAAGCGTCAACTCCACAAATGCAGTAAACAAATGAATTAACTGGGCCTTTTTTCAAATGTTGATTTCATCCCTCTTGATGTTGCTCACATTGTGATCACCAGGTACAAAGCTGTGATTGACGCCTGCTCTCTTCAGCCAGACATCGACCTGCTGCCTTTTGGGGACCAAACTGAGATTGGAGAGAGGGTGTGGACATGCATAAGTTATTATCTTTCCATAGAGAACACAGACTATATTATGTTGCTGAACAGAAGGTTTCTGTTGTGCCGTTGTGTCAGGGCATTAACCTGAGTGGAGGCCAGAGACAGCGGATTTGTGTGGCCAGAGCACTCTACCAGAACACCAATATTGTCTTCTTGGTAAGTTGAATTTTCTATGTAACAGTGGTGTGTATTTCTTACTTCATGCAGAAGTTTGATATGCATTTGGAAAATATGGTAATTAGATTAGAAGACATGGCAGCTATTTGTGGAAAATGTGTTGAGGAAGCTGGTAATCAGCAAAAATGGGCAGGAATCAGGTAAGGTAGTTGAACAAGTTAACAGCTGTCATTTCTCCAAAGATTTTCCCTTGACCTCCATTGAAAATGCCATGGTTTTAAAGAGCAATGGCTAAAAACTAAAAATAAAGTAATAAGATATAAGAAAAAACATCACATGATAATCATGAGCTGCGCCGGTAAACATTTTTTTTTATTGCAGGATGGTCCCGTTTAAGCTCACATCCTCATATTTATCCACACAAATAATTGTTTTTGTGACTTAATGAACAGAATTGAGCAATGGTTGAAAGTAGAGGTGGTAAGGGGATAGAATATCCTCATTTTTTGCCACAGTAGATGGTCCATTAAAGATGCACCAATGGTCCTTTCCTTATTTTTTTGTCAATTCAATTCTGCACCATTTCATTCTGTTTTGAAACCGTCCAAAAAAGACAATCGAACCCTCCAGATGTTAAACAAGAGCTACCCAAGGACAGCCAGTGCCAATTGAAACAGGAATTAAACACTAGTCACATGGAGGACAAACATGAACCAGACCGTGAAGAGGAACCAAGGAACTAAATACAAATACTAACACAAAAACAGTCATTTCATGACCCTTTACCCTCCCTAATACGTAAAGTGTTTTTCATTTCATGTCAGAATAAAGTAAGATCAGGGAGGGTGGTTAGTGACTGTTATTGCTCTGGTATTTTTTAGTGTCAAATATTTTCTTTGTTACTTCAGTTTGACTGTGTATAACTGAATTAGAATCATGATTGACTGGATAATGCAGCGCTGTGCTAAACATCATGCAGTACTTGTTAGGATGAATAAGGTTTCCTTCTACTATGATGTCAGTGATGTAGTGTGTTTATCTTTCTGAATAAAATAGAGTAATTTCCTGTTGCCATGCAGCTAACATTGCTTATCAGGCATAGATTCCACATTAGCATCAATTCTTCTACCCTCTTGACGCTTTGTAATGTCTAGAATGGTTAATAAAAGTAAACTGATAAGATTTGTTATGCAGAATGACGTGGGAATGTTTTCTTTCATTAACATCAGTTAACTTTGAAATGTGGGTGGCTTGGGCTCTTTTATATCTGATCGTAGAAACGGAATATCTACGTCATACACTCATGATCACGCAAGACGCCATGACACACCATCCATTAATGTGCTATGGAACAGATGCCGTGTCATCCACCCTCATTGTATAGTAGTGCCAGACATTAATGGACATTTGGCAAGCCTTTAGTGGTGAGGCTGGATCGGAATCAGAGGGTAGAAATTAAAAGAACTCACACTCTGTCACGATGGGGATACTATTGCCAGGGTGAGTCAAAAGTCACAAGACGCCCTTTTATTTCTGAAACCAAAGGGTAAAACATGGGTAAGGGATAAGAAAACATATCTTTTAGCACTATGTCTGGAAGGTCATAGGCTCAAGGGAAAGTTTTGGCAACTGGATGGTGGTCATGTAGCACATCAACAAAGACCAGATCAGATTTGCAATACCTCTCGTGGTTCAAAAGTTGTCAAGACGGAGTGTTGCAGCTACAACTGAGAACTTTGCTTTTGATGCACAGTTATTTGACATGTTTAATGTGCTGTCCCTGGTGCTGAACTGCTTGTGGAGCAGGCGTCACCTTGTTTTAATGCTAAAGTTGCTTTAGATATCGTCTGATAATCGAGGAGAAAATTGATCACTGGGGGAATTTCTTTCTTTCTTTTACTATGAAGCTCCTCCCCAAAATAGCATTGACATTTTGTATATTATTGCTGAAGGACTGAGGTTTTGCTGTTTGGACCTCATGACACTGCTACATTTCAAGCTGAGCTGGATCTGTTAAGTCAGTATTTACCATTTTGGGCAACAAAATTGTGAGCCCAGAGAGCTATGGACACAGAGTCGGAGCTATGGCTGATGCAGTGATTAGCTCAGTAGTCTGAGACAATTAGTCAAAGCTATATCATTTCTTCTTTTACTTTAAGGACCTTGCTTTTAGCACAACTTGTTAAGACTACAGCAATACACTTATTGGTGGTATTTTTTATGTGGCAGATCACATGCTTGTCTACAATGCTACTGCTTGACTTATAACCTGTATAGAAAATAGCGTGAGCACATCACTCCAGTTCTTGCATTGTTTTAATGGCTTTCGTTTTTTTAAGGTTCATTTTAAGATTATTTCTTTTTGTTTTCAGCTGCCTTCACGGCCATACTTCTCAGTATTTACCAGTTGTTTGCTCAGCTGCACTCTCTCCTCAGCCAATTAGTTTTTGTTTGTCATCTCTGAAACAAAGAGAAAACCAAGAGGTGATCTTAGCATATGAGGGAGGCTGACAAACTTATCAGTTTAGGCCTCCTCCCAAAGATTAAACATTTCTCATTGTTTTTTACATCTGTCTTAGGTGTTTTTTGTTGTTTTATTTTAAAGATGTTTTTACACTGTGATATTTATTTTTTTGTGTATGACTCTAACATTGTCATTTTACTTTTGATCCCTGTTGACCTTTTGCAAGCTGTGCTGTATTTTAAAGTGCTTTACACATACAGTTGGATTGTGTTTTCAGATCGGCCCATCTTTTTAAATCTTTCTCTCTCTCACTCTCTCTCTCTCCCTCACATACTCAACCTTGTGTCTGTTCAGTTCAAACACTGACTTATCCCATTTCTCTCATCAGTATTCCGCTTACTCTTTCATCCAGAAACAAGCTTTTTGATAGCATTGCTCCAGACTTTGCTGTTTCAACTCGGGTTGATAAAGCCACATATCTGGTTTTTTTTCCAGAAATGATCCATTGCCACAGAAAAAACATTTTATATTTTTCATTTAATCTCTTTCTCGTTGTCCCCTTTGTCAGGATGATCCTTTCTCAGCGCTGGACATCCACCTTAGTGATCACCTAATGCAGGAGGGAATCCTTAAGTTTCTGCAGGATGATAAGCGAACAGTGGTCCTCGTCACCCACAAACTGCAGTATCTCATCCATGCAGACTGGGTAGGGCCTTCAATCAAAGGCTCCGGTGATTCGACTAATCTCTTGAACATACACAGTCAGCATGTGTGAGCAATCTTCCTCACAAGCTGTTTATGATTTTGCTTTTTGTCCAGATCATAGCCATGAAGGATGGCTCTGTTCTCCGAGAGGGAACCCTGAAGGATATTCAGACTCATGATATTGAGCTCTATGATCACTGGAAAACTCTGATGAATAGAAACGACCAGGAGCTGGAGAAGGTACAGTAACATAACTTGATTTCAGTTAGCCGAGAATATAGACTCTTAGACCCGGTGGCATTGGTAGAACTATATGATATAAACTTTGTTTGAACTCATGTAAGTTCACCCATCTATGTCTGTCTCCAGGACATACAGCAGGACAGCCAAACAACACTTGAGAGGAAGACACTGCGGAGAGCTTTCTACTCCAGAGAGGCCAAGAATCAAGTTGACGATGAGGATGAAGGTAATTGAATGTCTTTTCTGACCTGCTGAGAAAGGAAGAACAATTACTAAGTGCCTATCCAATCTACCACATACTCTTCAAACTCAGAGATAATCACTCTCCAGGAACTTAAGTGCAAAGCAAAGGTCAAGTACTGAGTTAACTTTACCCACAGGGATGAAGTGTGGTTCCTGACAAAAGACATCTTTAAAAGAAGCTAAATACTGCTGTCATTACCCAGGGTCCACGCATTTTTTTATTCGTTCAAAATGATCAATCAATTCACACACAGCTTGGCTCTGTGTTGCCAGGTTAAAATCACGTCATTTTTTAAAGAGCACGCATTTGTATTGTCCAGATACGTCCGTATAAGAAGTGTTGGACCTGACACACAGTGATGTATATTCCTAACTAAAGAATTCAGATGTCTATATTTCAGTAGTGGTGTCATCCTTCCTGGTTGACGATATAGCATCTTTTCCATGGAGGATGTTGTTATAAATAAAGTTTAATCTTTTCGTTCTTACAGAGGAAGAAGAGGAAGAGGAAGACGATGACAATATGTCCACAACCACCAACAGACGATCAAAGATTCCATGGAGGGTAAAGTGATCATTAGCACACATTTGATTGAAACAGAAGACTCCTAAAGTACAAATTTGTTCCTCATGAATATCATCAGTGTTTTTTCAGAGGAAATTAAAAAAGCAGAGCAGTTATGTTGAGTCAAGTTTTACCGGGAAATTGTTACTAAAGCAATGCTTGGCCAAAAAGTGTCAAGATCTGTATTTAATCATCAGAATCAGAAATCCCTTTATTGGCCAAATATACAATGTTCACAGGAATTTAATCTGGTATCCCAGTGCCACAGGACAATTTTCATAACCAATTTGAAAATAACAGAGAAGTATATAATAGGTAAGGACAGTATGTACAATGATGAAGTGACAGGAAAGGAAAATATGTTAGGTGTGTTCAGGTGTTCTTAGATGGCTGTTTAAGTGTCTGTAGAAGTTGCTGGAGGGCTGAATTGTCCTCATTTAAGAGGGTTGAAAAAACTGTTCAAATAACGGTTTAATTGACTCGATTATGAGACAGAATAAATATTTACTATAAATAGTAAATTTTTACGTTACGTTACGTTAAAATTCTTATATGACTTGTGTTTTGAGTCATAGAAACTGGAGGTACATTTCTCAATATTTTCTAAAAGAAAGAGTAATACTTCCGTACTCACGGGAGGGATTTGATTTTTCGGTTTACTGGATTCACCACGTTGACTGCTTCACGAACAAGTGACTCATCCCTGTTGTCCTTAGGTATGCTGGTGTTATCTGTCCTCTGGAGGCTTCTTCATGGTCTTCATGATGGTTTCCTCAAAGCTCCTCAAGCATTCTGTCATTGTTGCCATTGACTACTGGCTAGCTATCTGGACATCCTCTAAAACTAACCAGAGCACAAACACAGAAACAGACACACTGAATGAAACCATGTGGGCTACAAGCAGCAACAGCACATCTCCTACTCTCAGTACTCCAGAAGCTGAGGTAAAATATGATTTTTACTGTGGATTTGTAATGGTTTAGTTTATAGAATAAAATGTAAACCTGTTATCATTCTCCTGGTAACATAAAGTCAAGGGCAGGAGAAATGTTTCTGTTGTTTAGATACATGTGATTAATTCTTAATATAATATAATCACAGTACAAAATCTCGACATTAAAAGTAATAAAAGATGAGGGTAAAATGAATAGATGAAAACTATACACAATCGGTATATAGTACAACAGTATAGTGATGTTGAAGTTATTTGCTTTTGTTTGCATCAGAAATGCCACTGCTCATAGAAGGGGAAGGTATATAGTTGGTTCAAATATATGCAGCTGAAATGCAAGTCTGGATAAGAAAGAAATGTTGTGGCTCAGAGTGCAGGAAGGACGTTATGTTTGAGAGAACAGCTTTCAGAGTACTAGTAGTTAACATTTTGGTATTCGGACATTTAGCAGAAAATGTAAAAAGTTAAATATGTGCTGTTTTCATATAACATCTCGTTGACAGGTGCTTTTGAATGTGTAGAAATGATGTCTGTTTGGATAGCTGCTGTTTGTTTTACTGTGAAAGAAAAATGATTGTCAGATTTTGAGTATACATAATGTTCAATGTCACTTAGATGGTACACGGTGTAAATTAAGTCTGTTTGATCCACAGCACGGCTACTATCTGCCGGTCTTCATCATCTTGTGTGCGGCTGGAATCACTTTATGCCTGATAACATCCCTCACTGTGGAGTTTTTGGGCCTCTCTGCAGCCACCAACTTACACCACAATCTACTCAACAAGATTATCCATGCTCCCATCCGGTACTCACACACACATACACACACAATCAAAATAATTCCAGGTAAAAAGAATAGCCAGATGCTCTGATGTGATATGATTATTGTCACTATATATAATTTTCATCCAAGAGCATAACATTAGCTATATTATTAATTTGAAGATGCTCTCAAAGAATTTTGTACAGTGTTACTGATATGCATTTTTCATTTGTGGTTTGAAAATTTCTGTGTGATATTTTTTTTAACTATGTCTTAAACCCTACAACATAATACTGGTTACTTACGATTCACATAATAACTTGCTAATTTAATCTAGCTCTTACATCTTCGTGATGGACATCTACAAGAAAATAAACCAATTAGAAATGTGTCTAGACTGATTTTTTTAATTGATTTTTTATTTTGGATGTTCTCAGGTTTTTTGATGTCACTCCTTTGGGTCAGATTCTCAACAGATTTTCAGCTGACACCAACATCATTGACCAGGTATTCAGAACAATAAGGGACATCTCTTTTTCTTGTATAGTTATTCTTTGTTCACGCCTTTAAAGATGTTTTTTGGTTTGAGCTAAAATCAGGAATTCAGAAATGATGCTTCATTTCTCCATCTATCAGCATATTCCCCCAACATTAGAGTCTTTGACGAGGTCCACACTGCTCTGTTTGTCGGCCATCGGGGTTATAGCTTCCATCACTCCTGCTTTCCTGATTGCCTTGATTCCCTTGGCAGTGGCCTTCTACTTCATTCAGAAGTATTTTAGGGTCGCCTCAAAGTGAGTTTGTCTTTTATTTTATTTTTGGGTGTTTAAAAAGATCTGTTTCCTGTTAAAATGGTCTTGTTAAATTAGATACAGTCAAACACCCAGTTTGAAAAAATCATGCAGTTATTTTTTTTAACATGCATGCATGTTTATGTGCATGCAAATTTTTTCAAATTTTTTTTAAATCTCTCCTTTTCAGAGACCTCCAGGATTTAGATGACTCCACGCAGCTTCCTCTGCTCTGCCACTTCTCTGAGACAGCTGAAGGTCTCACCACAATAAGAGCATTCAGGTATAAACACGCTAAGACTCTAAAGCCTTACCCCAGAGTCCAAAAGTCTTTTGTTGGTCATTTAAATATACTGTATTACATTCATAGATTATATATATATATATATATATATATATTGACACACAAACACAAAATGGAATGCTTTTGACTTTTAGGGGTGATTGTGACTTGTTTGTCGTTGATTTCTATGTTCTGCATTGAGAAAATCTTTTTTTTTTGTACTTCCTGCCAGATGGGGATACAATGTGATCTTTAACCCAAAAACACACAGTGATAAATCATGTCTTTTAGCTGTGGCCTCCACTGTTTCTATGCCCTTTTGTTTATTTTATCATCTTATTGTCCCTGACGCGTACAGTTGAATAAGAAGTGTCTTGAGAAGTGCTGTAGATTAATGCACTGATAGCAGCAGAGATGAAGCTTGTAAGTAATGGCAGCGCGAGTAGTTCAGAGTAGGCTCTGCCTCCAGTCTCTTGTCCCTCTGTCTTTGCCCTCTTTCCCATCGTTGTTATAATCCAACATTAAACAGCTCTCACGCTTTTTTCTCCTCCCTTCCCTGAGGACTTCCTTTCTCTTCCTTACACACACACACACGCATACACACATACACACACGCACGCACATACACACACACTCACACACAAACACACTTTTGCACACAACGGGACTCTCACATATGCAGAGACAATGAATTTGACTTCGAGACAGATTCCTGGCAATGGGGGGACAGTTCCCATTATCACTGCCCACGGGCCCCCTTCCATACTCTGATTTCAAGGAAAGAAAAAAAAACTAAATTTGTCTTCAACCACAGAACATCAGAACTATTTAATTATTTAATTTGAAAAAAGATTCCATTTTCCTTTTTTCTCTTTTCTTTTACTTTGCGTTTCTCTTCCCTGTTTGCTCTATGTTTATTATTTGTCCTTGTGAGTCTGGTAGATGTTTGTTGGAGAAAAGTTTTGAGCGCTGTCAACATCCAGTGTGGAAGCTGTCCATCATCGACAAAGGGATACAATGAGGGAGTGACTTGATGTGCATGTGATGTGTGATTAAATGTGTCTTACAGACACGAGGCGCGTTTTAAACAGCGCATGCTAGAGCTGACAGACACGAACAACACGGCCTACCTGTTTCTGTCTGCCGCTAATCGGTGGCTGGAGGTCAGAACGGTGAGAAAACGACTTTATGATCATTTCCTTGCATGTCCGGTTCAGGTTCTTTTATCCACATGATATAGAAAGGTGTATATTAGATGAAAGACCAGCTACGTAATTGATTTGGATATTCATTAAACAAGGAAACACCAATATTTTCATGTAAATGTTGTTACCAAAAGCCAAGTATTTGAAATTCTTTGTGGATTTATTAGTCCCCAGATTTGGTAATGAGGATTCATACTTAACCAAAACTACTCTGAATTGAGGATCTGCAATCCTCGCTTCGTAATTCATCCAGACATACATGGTGCTAAATCCTGAGACAAACAATTCTTGAAACTTCAACATTAAGCCAATAAATCTCCAATTTGCTGGTTTTAAAGTAAAGTACTGTGCATAATGTGTTATACTTATATGAACTTGCTATTGTATGTGAAAAAAAAGACAGGCTTCAAAATGTTTATGAAGAATTGCATTGATTATGAATTGTTTGCTACCTTGGAATAGACCATTAGTGTCACGGGGGGGTTCTTGGAGGGAGGACTCAGTCGCGGAATGAGGGGAACAAGGTTTATTGACAAAAAACAGGGTGAATGTCCAGACAAAGTACAAAACAAAGCTGTGGCAAACTGTGGGCAAAGTAACAAAGCAATGAGCAAACAATACTGTGGCAAAAACTATGACTTGACAAAGTAACAAAATAAAGATAACTATGACAAAACGTGACTATGACTGTGGCAGAACTGTGACGAAACAAACCTGGCGTGGGGGTGACGACGGACGAAAGGACAAGAAGACAAGAACGACCCCGCACCAGACAAGGGGAAACGAGGACTATTTAAACACATGAGGGAGGGAACCCCAGGTGTACACAATAGGTAATCAAGACGAGACATTCCCCCAGACGTGACAATTAGGGCACATCAGCAGTAGTATTAGTGGTGGGAATTCAACCAGAGGAAACCCTAGCAGGGTTCAGTTAAATTCAAATTTATTTGTGTGTATCACATACATATAAATCACAACAACTGTCATCTCTTGGCACTTCAAAAACACAGTTCAATTCAAGCCAATTAGGATCCAATTCATTGTAATACAATCAAATTCAAACTAGTTCAAGTTTATTAAGTTTTACATACATCACATTTATACAGATCCAGTTAGAAAAAGGTTGCTAGCTAAAGAAACCAACTGATGCACTTAATATTTTCTTCGATCCAATCCCCATCCTGACAGTGCATGAGGTGACTGTGGAAAGAAAACAATTCCCTTTTTAACAGGAAGAGCGAGATTTAGGGAGCCAATCAGTCACTTGCCTACACCAGCTGGGGTTTTAGAGGGCAAGAAAGAGAGACAACAAACACAGCTTGGTTATGTGAGATTGACACTGAGTGTTTTATTTATTTAACAAAAGAATTATCCTGAAAAATCATATTTACCAAATAACTGCTGACACGGTGTCCAAATTGCTTTGAATCTGTTTCTTAATGCAACATTTGGTTCACTGTTAGCTATCCGCTTAATCATGAAAAGAATAAACATACGTTGTTGATTCTTAACTGGGTTCAGCTTTTTTCAGTGTTCTTAGGGAAATAATTTCTTTGTATCCCCCTGGTTTTTCTGCAGGACTACCTCGGAGCAGTGATTGTGCTGACAGCTGCAGTTGCCTCAATATGGAGCTCGAGATATGGTTTGCCAGCTGGAGGCCTGGTGGGCCTTGGCCTCACCTACGCCCTCACTGTAAGTTTTCTGATCCTTTCACGTTTTCAGGACCCCTACTTACTAAAAATTACCTTTTTATTATTATGTTCTGCAACAGATCTTTGATTGATGCATTAGGAAATAATAAAAAAGCATCTGTTTCTTGCTATCTCTTTAAATAAGGTAAATATGACTAGATGAAAACGCCAGAAAATCACAGGTTCATTTTTCCAAAATTTTTAGCCAAAAAGAAAAAGCATGTAAATGTGTACTAAGCATGTACATTAGGTACATTCCATGATTCGGAACCACCTTACCTGTTGGTGCATTTTTTCTAGCCAATTCAATTGTTTCAAAGTACATATAAGGGGAGGCAATCATCCTCGTGTCCCTTAATCAACAACACTTTTAAGAACCATGTGGCCATGTGGGTTAAAGGAAAAAACTGATAATCAGGACTCAATAGACACCAGCTCTTTGTGACTATGCTAAAAAACAAACATGTTTAAATGGGGTTGTGTATGGTAGACAGCGCTCTTGACTGATCTACTTTGGGGGACCAGAGGTCTAAAAGTATCTTTTAAAGCATCTCAAACAAAACTCAGTGTGTTAAATCTGACAGAATTCAGTCCGATTCAAACGGGCATGATATTGTTTTTTTTACACTGCAGGAGGTTAGACAGAATGCCCTAAAAAACACGACCACTTTAAGACCTTTTTCAGTAATGATTGTATTGTGCTATTCTGATTGGTATTAGGGGCATGTGGGTTGAGAGCTGAGGCCTCCATGGTTCAGACGTTTTGTGACTTATTTAGCTTTACTCAATCGTACTGGAATCCGAGAACGTCAGGTCAATTTGTTTACCATGCCTTCATGGGCTTTCCAATTTCTTTGAAAGTTTTGGACAAGATTTTCAAACTCTGTCAGGTCTTAGACAATTACCAACCGTGTTTTATAACCATACAGATTCATAAATATCTGCATTTTGAGTGGTCAGCTTGACTACAAAGGCGCTATATAAGTGCATGTGCATTTACAGGTATATATATATATATATATATATATATATATATATATATCCAGTCATCAATTTTTGTTGTGCAGGTCACCAACTATTTAAATTGGGTCGTGAGGAACTTGGCAGACTTGGAGGTCCAGATGGCTGCCGTGAAGAAGGTCAATAGCTTCCTGAGCACAGAGTGCGAGAACTATGAAGGAACTCTAGGTAACATTTGTAACACAGTAACTTTAACACAGATGTTTGTGCCACATCACACAAACCTAAGATACATTATATACAGTAAACTCATGATGAACTGCTGCGCAGAATTGTGTTTTTTATGTTTGAGTCAGATGTGATATCATAAAGAGCACCACTGGGCCAGAACTTTAGGCAGTAAGTAGAGTCTACTTACTTATGCAGTGCTTTCGTAGTCTTACTAATTACTCAAAACGCTTTTATACTAAATGCCAGTCCCCCGTTCACATACACACTCACATACCGATCGATAAAACCGGTAGTCAGTGGGATTCAGTGTCTTAGATGTGGCATAAAGATAGGAATGGAACCACCAACCTTCCGCTGTGTAGACATCTGTTCTTCCTTTTGAGCTATCATCATCACCATCAATTAATCATTATCATATCTAGTTTTCCTTTGCTGACATAGCTTGTAGTTTTATAGCATTGTAACTTCAAAACAACCATTGATCAGAACTATGTAATTTAATACCTCAAGAATCATTCGATCTAAGCATCTGGACATTAAATGGTATATATTATGCTGTCACCAGATCCTCGGATGGTTTATGTTGACCAGAGTATTGGAACACTGTGTCCTGATCTACTTATAAATCTCCATTTGTTATAACCTTATAGTATGTATATGCTTGGGCTGTTGCTATGATGCGATACAAACGCAGTTGGAACCTTTTCCCCGTGGAACAGAGGACGAAACGTGGAGACTCTTCATTATGTAACTCACATCTCGTCGTCAAAGTACCAGTGAGAGTCTGAGAGAATGTTTCACCAAGGAGAAGCAGCTGCAGTATTTTGGAACACATAGCAGCTGAGTCTGATGGATGGATAGAAAGAAGATGAAGGAATTACACTAGTTCAAGAAAGAAAGAGTCAGAACAGCTGTTAAATAAAGCATAGCTGTGTATTACCATAATGTATTCAGGTGATTTTCCCTTTTAAGTTGGTGTCTTGGACTTAATGACGCATGAAAGTATGTAACAACCTCAGAAACCCCAAAAGGCTGAGAGGATAAAAATCCTCCCATCTGACATCATGGTAAAAGTGAAAAATCCTTCAAAGTCAGGAACGAATAAACTAAAAGAAGCATCCAGCAGGATCAGGAAATTCTTGATCTTGTAGTAATGTGGAAAATAGGCACAATGGTCTACTGCACTGAACAGAAATTTGTTTTATCATTCGGTCAAAATAGCATCTGGCCCTGTTCTGTTTTATCACAATACAATGAGAAAAATTTGAAACTAGTCCCATCACGCTTGTCCAATTGTTTGTTTTCTGATCATTAGCAAAACCTTAGAAGAGTGTCACCACTGCTGTTCATTCAAACCTGGTCATTAAAATTCTCATTTTTACTTTAGATACATTAAAATACCCTGTACTAAAGGAAGAATATATTTTAGAGCTATGTATGACTTATTTTAAACTAAGTTTTGCTGTTGAGAATTAATCATAGATAGACTTAGTCTTTGTGTAACCAAACCTACTGTAACGACATTTCTGTGATGCCTGTGGGAAAAGTGGAAGGAATTTCACCATAAAACTCCTCTGTTAATGTATATCTGCAGTGTTATGACTTCGTCCACATGCTTTTGTTTACACCATCTAGTATGTAGTTTTAGTGTTTTGTTCGGCTGTTTATGTGAAAATAAGTTTGTTCAACCTGGAGAGGAATAACCCACCGCACTTCTCTTTGTCCTCACTAGACTCCTCTCAAGTGCCTGAGAACTGGCCCCAGGATGGCGAGATAAAGATCCAGGACTTATGTGTGCGCTACGATCCCTTGCTGAAACCAGTGTTAAAACATGTCAACGCGTACATCAAACCAGGCCAGAAGGTAACTTACACAATGGCATCAGGCCGGAACCGTCACATTTACTCCTCAGATATAATTTAATTATGTCTGAGAATATTTGATATGTATTGTTTAACCCCTGTAGACATATAACTGACAGAGAATTTTTTTTTAAATTTGTCTAATCTTTTCTTTTAAATGAGCAATAAAACCTGAGCTGATGTGCCACCTATTCAGCTGCATCATACTCCAGCAGCTTCTCTCTTAGGATTCCTTGAGCCATGGCCACATGACCGTGATGTAACTTTGGGGGCCGAAGTTACTTATTTCCGCTTTTTTTTTTAAGTGAGTGCAGCAGCATTAAACAGGAGCCGATAATTCACACACTAGCGAAAGAAGCGAGTGGCCTCAAACTGCACTGCCATGAGAAGCAGCGGCATGTGACCGAGACCCAGTAAGACCAGCGTGCAAGATTTTATCCAAATTGATTAACAGCTTTTTGCCAAGTGTGCTTGAACATGGCGGTTACCAGCAGGACGCTGCAGGATTCAAGGTCAAACTTGATTTGGTTGTTTTTGGCAAATCTCTACAGCACTTTAGCACTTTGGTCCCAGGTTTTTAGGGGTAAATTCTTTTGGAGTCCGTGGCTGTGCAAGTGTTGCACCTTTTATTGATTTTTCAAAAACTGAATCAAGCACTGAAATGATTTTTACATGAATGTGGATGTTTTACGTAAAAGACGTGGGTTTTGTATGGAGCGGATTTCAAGATTGTCCAGACTTATTATCACTCCGCAAAGTGCCCTATGCGCCATCCTCTTTTAATGAATTATTGGCTAGCACTTTTTATATGATAGTTGAGATCATTCTGCACATTTTAATATACAACACATAGGCTATGAGAATAAAAGTTTGTCAGAATCAGACTTAACAGCCAAGGCCATTTACATCATAGACTTCAAAGAGTTAAAGGACATGAAAAAGTATATTTTCGCTGCATTAATCCCTTAAATTCTATATGGGTACAAAGAGTCCTCAAACCTATTGTTCACTATGTGGTAAAAATATAGGGTTCATTCATTTTTACAGTTTTGGTTTAATTCCACAGGGTGTGTGGCCATTTAATAGACGCTTCTATAAAGGTTTCATAGACAATATTCTTACTTTTAATTCTGTAGCTATTTGCTGTGTGAAAATGGCTGTGTTGACACTTTTTCTTCAAGCGCAAATAGAGGGCTTTTTCGTTTTAAGAGAAAGTGGGTCGCCTGTAGAGACTTTAACAGCAATAGAATACCCCCCTCAGGGGTCACTTGTTTCTAACACGACGGTTTAATTAGTATGGAACCAGGCAACCTGCTGAGTTTGGGCACATCCACTCATTCAAAATGTAAGGAAAAAGTTGGACCAAACTTTTGACTGCTCTACATAATAATAGGACACATTTTCTTACACTTTCCTTCTATATGCACCTCGGTACTATTACTGCCAATTAATGCAGCTCCAAACCTGTTTATTCCTGTTAGGAATTGCAACTTTCCCCATCTATAAGATGAGAACAAAGTCCCTGTTACCCTTAAATCTAACAATCCCAGTACATAATATGTTATATCAAGTTTTCATGAGATTATGAGATGAATAGCACCTCAACCATCATACATAACAATGTACAGACTTATATGGTCATGTGAATCATTTTGGATAGTGAAATTCACACAATCTGTATAGAATGTTGTTGGCTGAGAAGACTTTGGACTTGACCTAATCTGGAATTTTACTTCGAATTCACAGTTGCATGCCTCCGTAAAACAGCAAGGTGGCACTTGGTTATTATCACGCACAGATTGTGGCTGCCACGCTGTTATCACACAGGTGTCTTTTGTCTCACAGCAATGTCAAGTGGAACACAGCTCACTGATCCCCTCTTTTCCTCGGTTAGGTGGGGATCTGTGGTCGCACAGGCAGCGGGAAGTCTTCCCTGTCTTTGGCTTTTTTCAACATGGTTGATATTTTTGAAGGTGGGTCTGTGTCCCGTCTCATTGTTAACACAAACAGAAAGAGAGCACTTAGTTCTTTCCACTTCTTTCATCTTTCCCCCAGCTTTGCTTTCTATTCCGGCCGCCTCTCATCTTTATTTGGCGTTCCACCTTCCACTGATACATTATGTTTATGTTTCATTTAAGGGGGAGATAATCCCTAGTCTTTTTGGGTTATTGCTGGAGGATGCCGATCAAGGTTTTTGATATGAGAGGCTTTTGATCCTGAATTTGATCTTATCCCAAAACATAGGTTAACTATCAATAGGTTGTCTTTTTTTCTCTGATTGCAGGCAAAATCCTACAAATAAAAGAACTTGTAGCTAAAATACACATCTAAGATAAGAAGCAGTCAACTCCTTCTGACACGACACAGTTGACACTTAGCTGAAGTATGTCATAATCATAGTCATAGTACGTTTGAAAATTAGTTGAGCACCAAATTGTTTTTTTCTTTTGTAGATTGAATTCGATTTTGGTAAGATGCTATGAGTCATGTGATGAGATTTGGCACCGTAGAAGCATGACACTGAGCAAGGACCTGCTTTAAAAAAAAAATCCATTGAAAACACAAAACACATTCCTGCTGCTGGATTCTTGTCATGTTGCACAAAGGCCGAAAAGACTGAAGTGAAGAGTGACAAGACGATTGCAAACAATAACAAAAGGAATAAAAGATATGCATTGGTTAAAAATATTTGAGATAAATGTTTGAAAGGATTCAGGATTCCATCACAGATTAAATATACTCTATCAGTATACCCTGCTTCTCTGCATAGAGAGAGAGAGATTCACCATATAGTGATAGAAAAAGTATAAAGAATGCATAATAATAAGAAATTATTCCAACAGGATCAAGTGGGCTGTATAAGATACTTACGTGAGTTTTGCTCAAACCAAACTACTTTATACATTTCTCCAGCAAGGGCTGCCCTGTGTCATCTAAACATCGACACTTCATATTGTATTATAGTTATGCATGTTTATGCTACAGAGACAGTCCAAACATTATTTTTCAGCCCTTTGTAAAACACTCCTGCAGATCTCCATGTGAAAAACCAATGTCTCTGTCCTCCAGTGCTGTTTCATTTTATTGAGGGGCTGAAGTAGACCCTTGTGTCGTAGGATTAGAACAAGCACATAACAGAGGACTTGACCCATTTTCATATAACCATTTGCAGGCTCCAGATTGGTTTCTTTTTCTTTTTTTTCAAGGCTGCGGTGATGAAGTCCTAAATCTGTCTTTTTATTTACAGCGCTTTGAAAGCGAGTTGTAACTGTATCGGCTCTGTTTTTACTCCTAACGATGATGGAGGCTCCTGGGCAGATTATTCAGGCAAAGATGAGATTACACAGTCACTTTTTCCATGCACATACGCAGCTGTGCAGTCATTTCATCTAAGTGTAAATTAGGAACATTGTGTCAGCAGCATTTCCTTATAAAGCAATAAAATTAAACAAGAGCAACAGCAAGTCTGACTCAACTGTACAGCACATTCCTCACTCCTCTAAAATAAGACATTAACTTTTAATTCAATAGGAAAAAAATACGCATTCAAGACAATGGTCTGTGTGTAAGTAAAATTGATCAATAATATTATAGGATTTAATATTAATAATATTTAGGAAGAATCATTGATTTATGCCAATTTGGACCTCCTTTCAATATTATTTTCAACTGACAAAGAAACAATATTTAAAGTGATGCCATCACGTTAAAAATAGCTGAATATAATGTCTATTATCTGTTTAAATTTGATTTGCAAGCATTTTTCAGATCAGAAAATCGGAACGTGAATCTGTCAGCCTCACGATTGCTTTTGGGTAATTTATCTGGGAAATTTTTCAAGTCAGTGGACTGGAAACTTTCTTAAGTGGGAGAAGACTTTAATGCGCTGATTCACTATGAGAAAAATAATCGTTTCTGACAGCAGCTTTTTTTTCTCTCTCTCTTTCCATCTATTTTTACATGGGGATAAATCTATCATAACCAGATGGTTCCAAATAAACTGTTTATACGTGTAGGCAAAACATGCATCCAAGCATGTCTTGCCTACAAGTCCCTTTACATTTACTTAAAACTCATGACATGGAAATAGGATAAAAAACATGCACACTGTTAGGTTCGTTGAACACTCAATGGTGTGAATTCTAGTGTTTGTGGTTGTTTGTCTCTGTGTGGCCCTGTGATGGACAGGCGACCTGTCCGGGGACAGGAGCCTCTCACCCTTCGTCAGCTGGGATAGGCTCCTTCCCCGGCCTTAAAGAACCAGTAAAGCTGTGTCTGAGAGCCATTAAGTTTAAGAAGAAAGCAAGAATAATCTTCATTCATCCTCTGAATGTGCGCTGTTGTAGTTTCATTGGCGTCATGTTTGCCCATTTACAGGAAGGATTCTCATCGACGGGATCGACATCTGTCAGCTCCCTCTGCAAACGCTCAGGTCTCGACTCTCCATCATTCTCCAGGATCCGGTGTTATTTAGCGGCTCAATAAGGTACACAAACACACCCTCACTCACATACACAAGGCCTCATCATATCCGTTTCGATAATCCCAGTCCTCCTCGGGAGACATTAAGTAAATCCAAAACCACCACTGCTCACAACTTCCTGCTCATGTTTTCTTAGTTATCCCCTTTTTCAGAGCATTGGCTTCAATATAAATAAATTAATAAAATCGATAAAAAGGGTATGAAGGATTTAGTTGTAAACTTGCATCATAATGAAACATTTAGGCCTCATTGCTACTGTATTGTATTATTTAGAAAATGAATAAATAAATAAAGCTGAAGAAAGGCAACGGCAGAACAAAAATAGCCAGCTCGCTCCGATGAATGGAAAAACCTTCTTGATGTGGGAGTGAAATGACTGGACTGATTTGTGTCAAGCAATTGATTTAGTTTTTGTTATCTGTGCTGAACTGGCATGTCTAGCACTGAGATTAAAAATGGTGGAGAAAAACAGCCAAGTGCTGCGATTTAAATCTACAGGGGCCCAATAAAACCCTCAAGCCTAGAAAAGTGTAGCCTTTTCTGAAAAACCTCTATCTATGTCAAAGCTGAATACTGGGTCAAAATGCTACGAGTCTTTCCTGTTTAAGGCTGTTTAACGTTGTTGCTGACCATTGGCATTCTTATTCTGAATTTTGTATGAATTTAATTTTATTCAATAGGGACAGATGTAGTGGACATTGATTCATATAAATCATGTAAAAGAGATGTCATGCAAACATGTATCTAGCCATGGCTAACACACTTCTACAGAAGTTAGAGAATTAACTTGTAAAGAACAGAAATAGCCTCCGGTAATTTATTTGGAACTTTATATTATTTTAAAAGTGCAAAATATTTACCATATTATACTGACCATATTAGACCTTATTAAAAGGAAACCCCTATGTGTCTGACCAATCAGGATTGAGCCAAAAGTGGTAAAGCTTACTCTTTGGTTATATTTAGTTTGGGTATGCAATGCGTCACAGTTGTGTTTCCAAGTTATCAAAAGCAATTAATAATTTTTTAATTTGACAATAAAAGTAATTTTACATTCACAAGTGTTTTTGTATCTATACATTTTTTCTAATTTTCATTTTTTTAGATAAACAAGTAATTTGATGTGATTATTTATTTTATTTCAATTTGCATCTTAAACCTCTATTTTAAAAAAAGTTACAATTACACTAAAGGACCAAAACTGAGTGTCTTAAAAATAGTTATTTTTTAGTTTAGGATGATTTTGCAAGCTTAGAAATTCAAACATCACCAGCTCCCCAGGAACAGATGAGGAGTTGAGTTTTTTTCTGAGAAATGAAAGAGCAATAGATTCAAACATTCTGTCAGCTTTATGAGATTGGCAGAGTTTGCCTGTATTTTTTAGATAACGGTTTATTTCAGGATCTATTAAACCCTAATTCTGTGATTTAGCTTTCAGAGCGCTGATGCGAGTCAGAAATTCTTTTTGAAGCCACTGCCAGACAGGAGGTGACGTCAGTACTTTGGCTCTCGAGAAGCCCTCATAGCTGGTGTCACCGCTTGATTGATCACACTTGTCTGGAAAATCCTGGGCTAGATCCCCACATTCTTAATTGAAAAGTAAAAGCTAACGTCTTACAAAGAAAAAAAAAAGAGAGAAAATACGTAGAGGCAAGATCTCGAAAGCGCCTCGTCAGGAAAGATGTTATTCACACATCAGTCCCAGCTGAGAGGCGACCGGTTGAAAACGCAGTGGGAACTCCGGCTCGGGGCTAATGTGACTTTTGTCACGGACGTCACATACTGAGGTCGTTGTTGGAGAGACAAAGGACCCCGTGTCATCTTCCTGTATCACACACAGTCACAACCCCTCCGTGTTTGTGTTACCAGATAATAACACGGGCTCTGTGTTTGTTATAAAAGACAAAGAGCATGTGCTGTTTGTTTAGACAGATATGCCGCTGGAGATGATTATGTGTGTGTGTGTGTGTGTGTGTGAGTGTGTGTGTGAGAGAGAGAGTGTGAGAGAGGGAGAGAAGCCAAAAGCGTGTGTGTGTGTCTTTACAGGGACATTTGTTTATGTGAACGTAAACCTGAGGTGAATGGTCGACAGTAACTGCCTCACACTGTTTTCTTAGATGTTGCTGGATGTTCTGACACAGTTGGACTGTCTGGCACACACACACACACACACACACACACAGTTCAAACATCTTTCTCGGTTATTTCTCAAAATCTCAAACATTTACAGGTAAAGATTCTCAAGGAATCAATTATTTTAACCCACATCTATTCCTGAACTTTTACAATTGTTATTGCTTTCATTGATCATCTTCTCTCTGTTTGCTTCATAAGTATCAAACTTACTCCACCTTGTCAATGATTAATCCATTTCTGTGATTTAGAAAGTTTTCCAAGTTCCTTCACACGGGAAAATCCAAAAATGTGACCCTTTAATAGTTTGTATTCATTTAGAAAGTTTGAATCCTGATTTGATTCTTGGAATCATATGTGATCAAAGAGTGGCCAAGAATAGTCCATCAGCCACTGTTCACAGTAAACACAGCTGCAATACGTCTAACACGGAGCCATCAGTGGTTTGGAAGCAGAGGGACGTATCACTGGCTGCTTAGGATTCATCGGAAAGGAAAACACAAAGTTGTGGTTTTCAGCTAAACTTGAAGATTAGAGAGCTCAGTCATTGTTTATCTTTACTAAAATGATGATAATTTTCTCTCAGAAAATAAACTGAGCGTCAATATGAACTTTATCCAGACCTCAAACTTGTCAAAAGACAACTACGTCGCACAGTATAAAGTGTTGCTCAATGAAATGTTGGTATTTTAGCAAAAAAGGCAAAATCTTCCCCAAAGGTTATTCTGGGAGATTTAATTCCACTATGTTTAAAAACTTCTGCATTTTACAATCTTAGCTTAAATTAACTATTTTCATCTAAAATACAGGGTAGCTAAAGGGTTCATGGTAAAGTTTCGATATTTGGCTAAAAGTAGCAACCTGCATTATTTGTAAGTGTATTTATCTCCCCCAAATTCAAGAGGAATTCCTTCTTTTTGTGAATTTTATTGAAGGGTCTTGAAACCATGAACCTGATTGCCCACACCTTATGATATTCTGACTCTATTTGAACCATCACTCGATAATAACCATCCATATTGATTAGAAATAGCCATCAATTCAATTCTATTCATCTTTATCTAATGCCAAATCATTACAAATGCCATTTCCTTTAAAAGTGCAGACCAGTTCAAGCCAATTAGAATCCAGTTTATTGTAATGTCATTATAATTCAATCCGTTCCAGTTTATTAAATTCCTAACACTTCCAATTTACACAAAGCCAATTTAAAAATTTTTCCCCTACCAAAGGAAACCTGCTGAAGTCAAACTCACATAAATATAGCCCATAAGTAACAGGGGCAACGCAAAAGAGAAAGACTGTTGTCACAGGTTTTAAACACTCCCCTTTGCTTGTCTTTTTGGGACTAAAATGTTTTTCATTGCATTTTATGATCTGTATTTTGTTAATTATTTTATTTCTGACAGCATAGGACTAAAACACTAAAAGTGACAGTTACCGAAAACAGTCTTTATAGGAGTTTTTGTAGGTTTGTCGGAGTAAGTGTATGAAATCACCAGCAAACTCTTGTAGGTTCAATCTGGATCCTGAGAGAATGTGCACCGATGATCGGCTGTGGGAGGCGCTAGAGATCGCTCAGCTGAAGAACCTGGTGAAAGCGCTGCCCGGAGGACTAGGTACCGTAATTCATTTCATCCCATTAAGTAACCAAAAAAAAGAAAAAAACGTTATTTTCATGCATTTTTACGTTTTTTGCGCTTTTGTTGTGTTTCATTTTGCTCTCAGATGCTGTCGTGACAGAGGGTGGAGAGAACTTCAGCGTCGGGCAGAGGCAGCTCTTCTGCTTGGCGAGGGCTTTCGTCAGAAAGAGCAGCATCCTCATCATGGACGAAGCCACGGCATCTATAGACATGGCCACGGTTTGTCTCGCATTATGTAGCGCCTCTGCGTCCGAGAGACGGTTTCAGATGCGCCTTCTTCAAAAGATGAATCTGCCGGTGCAATGTAGGCCCTTTATAAACATGTAAAAATAAGTCATAAACACCTGGAATACAACTTTAATCAATGTCCATTGATGGGCAAAAACAGTGAAGTGAGAATATCCATTTACAGTGAGGGCTTCTTTCAGGACACAGCTTTTGCTTTTTATTGAAACATGTTCAATGTTTCCTCAAATAGAGGCTTAGCTCTTTGCACAAATTAGAAAAAATACCCTTTCTTCCATTTAGCAAAACTAGGAAAAACACAATTTCACAATTATTATTGTTTTATTTGTTTATTTTTACCAGTGTTTTGAAGGCAGCGTTGCATTGTGACCGTTAGTTGCTAATCTTTTATTTAAACAAGTTAGCTGCTTCACTGGACTCAGCCTGTTTTTTTTCTCTTTTCTCTTTTTCTTCTTTGGGTTCCCCACAGGAAAACATCTTACAGAAAGTTGTGATGACAGCATTTGCAGACAGAACAGTTGTTACAATCGCAGTAAGTCATCCCGTATTCTTGTGTTGGCTCTGGCTGTTGTAAACGACGCAAAGAGGATATAAAAACCAGCAGAGGTCTGCTCGGTTCTGATACATTGTTCCTTTTATGTGCATCTATCTTTAAATGTAACCCTTATGTATTCTTTTCCTTACTATTTTCCCTTTTTCATGTGATACGGTTCAGTGTTTTGAATGCAAAGACCTCTTTTCGACTTCATTTACTTACCTGCTTTCCTTTTTCTACCTTTTGTGTCTGTCATGTTATGTGCTTTCTTCCCTTTCCATCTTTTTTTACACCTTTATTCCACGTTTCCCCCCTTTTTTTGTTACATGTTACCTTGTACTCCTCTTTTTCATAATCCCATCTGTTTCTCGTGTCTACCCGCCTCTTTATTCATTCGTCTGCTGCTCCTCGTGCCTCCGTCCTGCCGCCAGCACCGTGTGTCCTCTATCTTGGACGCGGAGCAGGTGCTGGTCTTTTCCTCAGGGATCTTGGTGGAAAGTGACTCTGGTCCCAGCCTTCTAGCACAGGAAGAGAGCCTCTTCAGTGTGCTAGTGAGGACTCACAAGTAGCCCTGGATCAGCTCAGACCACTTTGGCTCTACCCGACTCCCACTGTCCGCAATTTTTTCCAGTTTTTTAAAACATTTTTATTCATTTTTTTATCCCGGCTGAGTGAGAGCTGGAGTCTGAGTCTGGGTCTGCTGAAACCTAACTGCCACTGTCAGCCTGGTTGGTACCAAATAAATCACTGCATGCTCTGTTTCTTTGTGTTTTCCTCACTTGCTGTTGAATTTGGTGGGAATCTACAGTGTTGCATAGTCGCATCCGCTCAGTTTTGGATTTAAACAAGCTCTCAGACTTTTATCAGCAAACAAAACTTCCTTTACAGCCATCATTTAACCACCTGCATGGCCTTCGTGTGAACAGTTTACAACTGGGAAACTGTGCGGAAGAATATGCATGTCAGCATGTGTGTTATGGCTTCTGAAATGGTTGTGCAGTTGCAGCTGACAAAATCCCAATCCACGCTTTGTTCGTGTCTTGTTTACACTCAATCTTGTCTTGCTATCTCCACGGCAGAGTTGTCACGAAATGAGAGGTGGCTTAACACGTCGCTTTGCAAAAAAATTCAGATATGTATCTGATTTAGGACAACATCCAAAAGTAGAATGGGTTGATATAGAAAAAAGTGAGTTATGTCCTGTTTCAGACTCAATAAATTATGGCCAAAAAGATTCAGGCAACGTCTGCCAGCAGTATTGATACGCTTTTCTCAGTCCCACTGTATTGTGAATTTTTTTAAATGTATATATCTAATTTTGTACCGCAGATTTATTGCAATGTTACAGGACGTTTGCTGTAAATTGGTATTGTTTAGATATTTATGATTTTATTTCATTTTGCAGTAATACAAGTATTTTGTAGCTTTAAGAAAAATAAACAATATAAGAAATAACAATTAAAACATAATAAAGAATATTAAATCTAAATAATATGCATAGTATACGTTAGCTGACTAGACAAAGCTGATGGGGAGGTATTTAAATAAAATATAAAATTAATAAAGTCACAAATTTGTGAATTTTCCCCTATTTTTCCCTATTATAAGGAGTCCTAAAACCTAACCCCTGCATCAGAGGAGGCACCATTTGACATTTCTCAGTTTGCACATCCTCTGCTTTTCTCTTTGCATCTTATGGCCTCTACACCTTGGAGATTTTTTAAAATAATTCTTTAATCTAAAGTCCATTGTAGACCGAGAGCTTCTGCTCAGATTTAAATCTGGATCCGTGTAGCAGGTTAATTGTTTAATTCTAAGGGTAAGTATGAATTAAGAACAAATGGTTCACAGAATGAAGAAACAGCCTTAATGTTCTTGCTGAACTTTGTAAACCCACAAAACCTTTCTGAGAGTCATTGTTTTGGTTCTAAATAAAAGCTGCATGATTGTTTAAGAAATACTGGAAAAGCTATAAATCGTTGACTTGGCGGGGGTTGAACATGTGAGCACAAAAGTGTAGTCAAATCAGTGTGTACCCGTCTTAATCGTGTGTTTGTTGTGTGTCGGCAGCACCGCGTCCACACCATCCTAACTGCTGATCTGGTTATCGTGATGAAGCGAGGCAACATTCTGGAATATGACAAACCCGAGACTCTTTTGGAGCAAGAGGACGGGATGTTTGCATCGTTCGTCAAAGCCGACATGTAGACTCGCCGTCCATCATCACGAGTTACATTCGAAAAGACTGCTCAGATCGGTGGTCGCCAGTTGAATTACCTCTAAAGGAGCAGGACGGACGCCAGCGGTGTTAACATAACACGATGGAAACCATGAACACGTCCCACCTGAAGCAGTCGCTCCCGAAAAGGCTTTTTTTAAGATGACCTGTACACAGCTTTTATAATGCGATTTATAACCTGGCTATTTACTCCAGTTTTCACATGTAGGAAAATCAAATGCGCAATATATTCTCTACGATTCCTTGTCCTGTCACGTTTATTTAGATCAGAGTTAAAATGGGGAATTTATTACTACTAATTTTAAAAAGTATCACTGCATCAGAATCTCATATTTCCACTACATTTTTCCCTTTAAAGCCAGTTAAAAACCATATAAGTTCTAGTTCATGTCTTGTAACACTTTCAACTCCCTGAAGATGGCGTTTGCTTGAGATTTTAGTATTTATTTGTCATTTGAAAAAAACCTTATGTTGGTTAACATAAGGTGCTGTTAAAACGGTAAAAGGAAACATTGAAGCAATACGGGGGTGACATTGTGAAAATCGTGAGACAAACTCTGCCAGCAGCATACAAGAGGGAAAATCCAGCTCTTCTTTGAGGCTAAAAGACTTAAGCGAGAATTCATTCCATCCAGATGTCAGCTGGAGTCTAACACATCTGACCGTTACGTCTGCTTACTAGACTGAAAGTGAGACAGTGTTTGCTTCAGCACGATAAAGCTACCCTCAGGCCAACCGCATTAGATTCTACAAAGTTAGTCAGGATGTAAGTGTCTGGCTTTTCCACACCAATATGATCATAAACACTAATCCTGTCTAAATTTAAGCAGAAAGACTCAGAAATCGTATTAATTTCAAACCATCTCAACTGATTCCTAATGAGCCACACCCTTATAAGAGCAACAATATTCTACATGTTTTTAATCTCAGGCAAAGGATAGTTAGTTGCATCTATTTAAATTAAGCTATTGATAAGAAGCAAAAAAAAGCATGTTACTAGATTTTGGGCTACGGGAAAAGCATGATTCCGTCTCACTCTATGCCATTAAAAATGGAATTGCCTTTAAGATTGTAATATTAGTGAACTCCCAATTAAGAGTGAATTGGTATTTACCATGATGTTGTCGGGCTCCTAAACCTGGATGAGTATCTCACTTCTCAGTCCTGTCACTCGCCTGTGTTGGTTTTTTGTTGAGCAAATCAGTGACAGATTTAGTGTCAATCACCTTAGACGTAGCCCTGATGTGCAGGTTCAGGTTTGAACCTCACCTGACCTGCACACACACATACATAAATGCAATTTCAACAAGCAGAAAAATGCAAGAATTCTGAGCCTGAAGAGATTTGAAATTAAGGCCTCGTAAGCCCCGACCAGAGCCTGAGTTACCAACATTAGGTAATAACTGCTAACAATCGAATTGTCTGTTTTGTTGCAGAGGCATCAGTGGCTTGTCTGTTTATTTGAATTCAGGGAGAACAAGTCGCTGATAGATGGAGATAAAAACACCAAAAGTAACCACAAAACCTTCCGTCTCCTGGGCTGGACTGTTGGAGCAGAACCACTCCTCCATCGTACATAACAGGACATTCTCAGAGGCTTGCTTTAAACAACCATCTTATTCTTAACGTCTCATAAAATTCACAGTTAATGTGTAACTTTTTCAAATACTTTCCCACAAAACATGATACATATGATAAGAGAATATTGCTATACTTTCGCATATCGATTGATATTGGCTTTTGACACATGTTTTAAGTTGACTTGTTTTTGTTTTTTTTATTATGGCTGTAAAATGACAATTACGCGTTTTCTTTGGTATTATTGTCAGAGAAACTTTGTTTACTGGCAAATTCTAAACGAGAGAGTTTTGTGTAGATAAAATCTCTAGCACCAGCTGCAAGTCAAAGATTAATCACAGCTCATTTATAGGTTATCTGTATTATCTTGTAGTTTGTTTGAATAAATAGTCAAATCCCACGATGGAGACAGTTACCCAGCTCTGGGTACATGCTGCTAAGTACACAGGAACACACAGAAATACACCACTAATGAGTAATGAGTCCAGTCAAGATCCTGCAAACACTTTTCTTTCGTTTAGATTTTTTTTTTTTTCGAGGAACCATTTTAACCTAATTTTAAACTATATATGTTTATTTCTGTCGTGGATCCACCTTCAGATGGATCAATGGATTGCTAGTTGTTGGCATTTTGTGGGAACATGACAGAATTGAGCCTTATCCAGTTTGTTAAACACAAATTACAGGAATTTAGTTAATGTTGTGGAGCTTTGAAATCTTTGGAATTTAATATAGTCTCTCTTTTTATATTGTTGAAATTTGATACGTTTTTAACTTATCGTGTGTATAAATCACACATCTTTAAAAAGTGCACCTCACATATCAGTTTGTACTTTTCAACACATATATATAAGAAGTAGAAGTTTGAATGTTTTGTAACTGTGAAAGATTTTAAATCTTTTTTTAATGATGTATTATACATTTGATTTCTATGTAAAGTTGTACCATAGAAGTAACACTGATGGAAATAACAAAGGTTTTAGTTTAAGAGAGTTAGCTTAGATTACCTCTGAGCTTTTTTGATTTATTTTTTAGCATCATAGGAGGTGCTGGCATCACATCGGAAGATGGAGAGAAACTCCAGGATGAGGAAAGAAAAAGTTCAGAATTAAGTGGACTTGTTGGCAGGAGTTACCGCCACAAAGCCAAACTGTGTTTCTTCGTTTTTCCGGTTGATTAATGTGAACATGATTTCGGAAAGACATCTTTGATGCTCAAGTCAATCTTTTGTTTTGGAAAACCTACAACATCCATATATGTATTGTGTCATAATTTTATTGTTAATAAGGTAGATAGATAGAAACACACACAGCTAAATAAATATGCAGACATGCAAGATTTACTCATTTTTACCTAAATCTCAAGAAACCGTACAAATGGTCGTAGTTATAAGAAAAAGCCACATATGACTGACATCCCATGGATAGTGACCAGGATTCCAATTTTTTTCTCTTTTGGAGTCATAAGGTCAAGGTGTAGATACAAAAGAATTTCCGAGTTTCTTACCATTTTTCAAAAAATACAATTAAAATCTTTTTTACAGTTCTACGCAGTAACCAGAACAGGCAAGCCATTCTTGTCACAATTTACAAAAGCCTGTCTACCTTTTTACCCAGAGAATAAGATTTTCTGTGTTTTCATGACACAGCTGGATCTGAGATTTGTACAAATTCATTGTCTGGACTGAATCAAATTCGAGGACAAATTTGGTTTGCCTCACAACACACACTTGGACGGCATCACCACAATATGACCCAAAAGTTACAAGTACAGTTACTTTATGAAATTTCTATAAATGGTTGTGGTTTTTTTTTTATAAGACTGACATCACTGCTACTTAATGTGCATTGGAGCATATGTCTATCAACATTCCTCATTTCCTATAGTTCTTTTTTAAGTTTAAACTCTTTCTCTGTCCTTGATTCAGATTGAAAATCTCTAGATATTCTGTTTCATCTGTCATCAAGTGGGTATGTTTTTCCAAGATAACCACAGAGCAGAATGCCAATTAATGTTGCTACCCACCTTTTAATGTGACATCAGTTTTAGTTTTTAAATAACCATATAACTGTACTTATTAAACTAATTTAGATTCCTCTTTACAAACTCAAACTGTTGATAAAAATGGTTTGAAAAAATCTGATCAATTCTAGATAAATAGCTGAAGTCGCCAGACTCTTATTGGACTGACTTCAGTTCAGTAAATCACGTTGTGTGGTTTGTTTTGAGGCTATTTTTGCCTTCACTTTATGCTGTCGGTAATATTTTATGCCTACATTAGTACAAACACTGTAGGGTGTCATGGCTCTGTTTGCAGCCGGTGCACCTGCTGTCTGTCGTCGTGTTTTGCTGAACCTTTTATTATCTTACAGGGCACCGGGCACCTAAACACAAGTTCCTACCGAGAAGAAAGATGTTTTTTTAACAGTTTTATTCTATTCTTTTCAATTAAAATTGTAAGTTCACAACGCTGCATGTATCCCCTCTCTCATTAGTCTGAATATTTACTTAATGGCTAACTTCATTTCCCAGCTTAGCTCCAAAGTAAGCAGAAAAAGCAGTAGCTGGTGGAAAACAATGTCCACAGCCCCTCTGCTATGGACTTGATATGGTCATGTAGTCCATATAAACCACAGTCACCAAGTTTTTGCTAAAAAAAGAAGGAAATCTTAAAAATGTCATTCTATGGTGCTGCGATTAATTTTCTTTTGCTGTGAATTGTTGCCAAAAAATCAGTGTGCATATTTTGATGGACGAAAAAGGAACATTTTGGTTGTTTAGAGCAAACTAATCACACGCACACAAAAAAAACTGGAAAGGAATCAATAATCTTTTGCCTAATTGCTCATATCCACAACAAATATATACTCATAAATTTCTTATGCAAACATATGCTTATAAAATATTAAAAAATATATATGCTGTACAACTATTAGGTAATTTAAAACCTTTTAGAACTTTTAATAACATTGAATATTATGTCACCATAATACCAAAGACTTTCTGTCAGCCATAACCAACTCAGGGATCTGGATCAAAGAAAACATGTAACATAAACTCCAACAATTGATGGGCCTTTTTATGTGAGTGTAGAGGTATCAAGACATATGAGAAATGCATCTAGTACATGGTTTCTGATGAGGCTGTGCGGAGCTCTGGTCCTCTGCAGCTATCCTCAAGATTTACTAAGTATTATCATTTTTCTGTGGGAGTTTTCAGCCCTTTTGTTGGCATATGGCAGACATGAGATATCAAAGCCTGATTTGATGTGTGATTTCCAAAATGTAAAGAATTATTGGTGGAGAAATGTTTCCCAAGCACCAAAAACGTAATTACCACATGGATTAATGACCACATGGACTCCAGTCTCCTCATACTTATAACTTAGGAGCAGCTTAGTTGATTGTATTCAATCAGACGATTGCTGTTTTCTCTTTTGTATTAAAGTGGAGTGACTTTAGTGACTCTGCTTTTGACTGAGTTAGTCGATAGGTATGTACTCTACAGACTGAATGCCAACTATAAAGCATAATCATTTATTTCATCTCAAGAAGTCACCACTTTTCAGTTTTCCATCTTGTGTTGTCCACCAGCTGTACCTAAAGTTGATCTTTTCACTCTTAGCCTCTTTCCACATATCTTATCCTTCGTTGTTGTGTTTTTATTTTATTTTTGCACCCAGCGTCTCCTTTAGTGACTGTTTTTTTTATCTGTGTTTTTTTTTTTAAACGTGGGCCTGAGTGCTTCGAATAATTGTTCTGTGTTTAATTTCCTGCTTTCCTTGCAGCTTCTGTTCTATTCAGCCATGAGTGGGAACCTCTTCCACTCTGTGAGATGTAGCCCTTCACACCACAATAAACCTTTGGTGCAGCTTCAAAGCACCACGTTTTCTTTTTTTTGTGTGTGTAATCTATATTCCTCTGACAAACATGTTCATTTTTCTGCATCATCATTTGCTCATTATTATTCAGCTCTTTTCTCTCAGACGGAATCCTCCTTTGCGCTTCCAACTCTGCATAATATGATAATGTTGTGCACATGATCAGATCTTTGCAGACGGTTACAGGCACTGTTGAATTCACATCAGACTGTTTAAGAGTTTTGTATGATTTTTACAAAGAATAAATTCCGAGCATTTATATATCCTGTATGTTTCTGCCTCCATATCTGATTGTTTAAAAACATTTACAAAAGTATTATTATGCAGACCTATAAGTACATTTTACAATTGAAATTATACAAAAAAAAGGGTTTGGAGTCCTGGGGGGCTCTTTCTTTGACCTGCTGAACATTAATAACCTCTGACATAGAGGACGGATCTGCGAAAATCGAATGTGTTGCTAAATGCTGCCCTCTACTGGTGATTTATTAAAATAAAATTTAGCTTTAAAAATGCCATTTGGAAAAAATGAAGTCAAGAAACATTTTCAAAAGGGACATTGAGATGTAATCATTTAGTTTTTGTTATTAAATAGATCATTCATCATACATTTGCACTCTTAACATAAGATTTTTAGACTTTTTTAGATTTAAAAATAACGATTTTTTTTGCTGTTGGAAAACTTTCATTCAGACTCAAAACTAAATTTTAGACTAGCTTAGTATAGCTTTTGTAGTTGTTATAACTCCCATCTATTTACTGTGTGCCTAGATTATTTAAAAGCATCAGAAGAGGTTTAAGGCTGAAGATGGTTCGAAATGAGGCTGTCTCCAATAGTGATATGATGAATAAATGATTTGATCTGAATAGTACAATAATTGAATGTTAAAGTAGCATGTTCAATTATAGAAAACGGTTCTTAAAATTTGGAGAGTATTTGACCACTATTTAATAAAAAGTTTTATATAGTAATAAAAGGGTGTAATTAAAGGTTGATTAAATGCTTGACATATGCGTTTCACCTGATAAAAAAAATGCTTTATCTGACATATCTAAATGTAATATTAAAATGGTGAAAGAGTTGGCTTTAACTTTAACTAGTTTGTTGTTTTTTTCTTTTGTTTTTACAAACATTTTCTCATTTTGGAAAAAAAAAAGACCAGAATGAATGAGTCTAATGTTTCTGTTCACTATTTTGAGGGCTTCTTCCGCTTGTCCTGAAACGAGTTTTAATATCTACTCAGACAAAAATATTCGTTAGCCTTTTTATGATTCCAAATGCTTGAAATGCCCCACTTTTGAAATGTGTCAAATCCCTTTAACTTTCTACCGCGCGGATTGTAATTTTGTCTTCTCCGACGAGCATTTGAAAGCACCAGGACCCTGGTCTGAGCGGGTCTGGACCCTGGAAGTTGGACTACGTCAACAGGAGTGCGGGAGACCCGTCCCAGCACTCAGAGGATCTCAGCAGAGGAGGCGCGCTGCGCTCCACTCCAAACCATCCCCAAAAAAAGTTGACAGAGCCAGAGAAACCGTTCGAGGAACATGCTGTATCCGCGCGCAAAGGCGCACTGAGGAAGGACGTACGAGGCACCTTTGGCTCAACGAGACAACAACAAAAAAAAACATGTTGGCGAGGAAAAGCATCATCCCGGAGGAGTTCGGCGTGCCGGGTCTTGCCTCCCGGATGCCCCGAAAGCCGGTGTTCAGGGACCGCGTCAACAAGGCGCGCTTCATCGCCAAGAACGGCTCGTGCAACTTGGCGCACAAGAACATCCGGGAGCAAGGCCGATTCCTGCAGGACGTTTTCACGACGCTGGTGGACCTTAAATGGCGCTTCACGCTGGTCATCTTCACCACGACGTTCGTGAGCAGCTGGCTGCTGTTCGCCATGAGCTGGTGGCTGGTGGCGTTTGCGCACGGAGACCTGGACCCGGAGCGGGAAAACGGAACCCACTGCGTCACCGGTGTCAAGTAATAAACACTCACAAAACCTCTCTTGGTGCCGTAAAAGTGTGAAATCCATTGAACACGGATTGTTTAAATAGTTTGTATCAGACTATTTTTGTGTTATGTGCTCTTTTTTTCTCTCTTTATCCTCACTTGATCCAAAACCACCAACTCCCACCCCTTCTTCCTTCTTCTTTCTCCATTTTAAAACGCCACAGAGGAAGACGGGGTAGAGGCTGGTGGCATTAATCTTTCCACAGAGTTATGAAAGTTGTCATATTTTGTTTGGGTGTTGAAGATGCGCGAGATTCCTTGAGTGCGTGTCTCTTTTAACGCTGCTTTACACGTCTTTCTTATACTTTCCCCCCTCCATTCTTCCATAGTAACGCCAAGATACCTCCAGCTGGATGCCTCCAAGATAGCACAGAAAATATAACAATATCTTTCATAGTAAAGAGTATGGGACTTGTAAACTTGTAACCAAAGTGGCTTTTATTAAGTGGTCCAGTTAAAACAGTACTTTGCGCTAACAAGATTCTAGATCTCATAATAATTGTTATTTTTTGCTTTCAACCAATGTATCATCCTTAAATTATGAAAATGAATTGGCTGTGAAATTATGGAGGTTCAATATTTAAATCTTCTAGCTTTATGGATGTGTATTTAGTCCCCATACCAAAGAGGGTGGAACTAATTATAGCTCATAAAACAACAGAAAGGCTGCAGTATAATTGTATTTTTTGTTAGAAAGAAGCTACCCAACATGCCATCACTGTTAGGCACAAACGTTTAAAGGTTCTGAGGTAAATGCAGTTAAACCTTAAAAAATGGAATTAATATATTCTAAGAAGCTATTCAAAGTTATTGGAACAAGAACAACAAATGATAGATTCGTAGAAAGTGAAAAAAAGCAAAAACAGAACCCAAACAAACAAATGGAACCCAAACTATGAATTAAAGTGTCATACCTTTAAAGACTTTCAGTTTGATTGAAACCGCATAAGGTGTTGACTGTCTATGGTGAAAGCCATCTCTGATAGGTCAGACTGAATTGCATGATCATTTACTGGCAGACAATTACGCCTATTTTTGAATTTAGTAATTGTGTCTTGGGAACAAAATCTAGCCTGTAAGAGACTCCCCTACAGTAAGACAGGGTGGAGGTGTTATCATGCTGTGGAGCTGCTATAGTGCCCTTAATGGGGTGTACTCATGTTTGAAGAGCCTGATAAAAGGAGATGAAATGACTGCTGCTGATTTTTTTAAATTTTAATAATTATTACATACGATGCTGATCATTAAATGATTATCTTATGTAAACATCCTGTGTTTACCAAGTTTATTTGTGTATGCTGATATTTCAGGATGTTCTCTATTTGAATTCTTTGATACCCTTTGATTAAACTTCTGACCAGTTCCTAGTGACATCAAGAAAAAGCTGCGAGCTGTGAACGAATGAAAGTACGGCTTTTCCCCTCCCCAGGTCATTCACATCAGCCTTCCTGTTCTCCATCGAGGTCCAGGTGACCATCGGCTTCGGGGGACGCATGATTACGGAGCAGTGTCCCACTGCCATCACCGTCCTCATCATGCAGAACATAGTGGGACTGATCATCAATGCTGTCATGTTAGGTGAAGCTCATGCAACCCCCCCCCAAACCCCACCCCCCCAATGCTCTTGCTAGCAATTAGACGATTGCTATTGTCTAAAACAGATGCAGGAATTTGAGAGGGATGAGCTCTACGCTGCCCTCTGGTGGATCTAATGCCTCACAACCAACCATCCATCCATCCATCCATCCATTTTCTGTACAGTTTATTCCCAACAGGGGTTGTAGGGAGGGCAGGGGCCTATTCAATGGGCGAGTTTCGGGGTACACCCTGGATCATGGGTCTCCAACTCCGGTCCTTGAGGGCCGGTATCCCGCAGGTTTTATGGGTTTCCCTGCTTCACACCTGATTCTGATTAAGTGGATCAGTTAAAAACCTCTGCACAGTCCTGATTAGGGCACCCTGTTCAGTTTCAGGTGTGTTGAAGCAGGGAAGCTTCTAAAACCTCCAGGACAGCGGTCCTCGAGGACCGACTTTTGGGACCCCTGCCCTGGACGGTGCCTCACAACCGGAGCAAACAAAATCGCGTGTGGGCATTAATGCTTGACATTTAAATGGAATATATAGATGGGACATAAGTGACCCTTTGGCCAAATAATGAGACCAGATCACGTGAACCCATAGATTTGAACCCACTTTCAAAGGTTTGTTTTCGTGAGAGTAACTCGACAAGAATAAAAAGCACTAAGATGCGATTTATTATTTTTATATTGATTATTCAAGAAAAGTCAAACTGACTCCCAGCTAATTCAAAAGGTAGAGAAAATTATAGAGGACAGACATTTTAAAAATGTGAAAATATTAAAGCAATAAAGCAGACTGAGAGTTAGGATAAACATTTTTAGGTAACTGTAACTTTTTTTTTTTGTCCAATAACATAAGTTTCAATAAGCTATTTCACTTCAAAAAGTCTACGGGACATCTCAGCTGGAAATTCCACCTGATGAGGTTGAAGTTTTTTTTTTTTTTGTGTCCTCAGGGTGTATCTTTATGAAGACGGCCCAGTCGAACCGCCGTGCCGAGACGCTGATCTTCAGCCGCCATGCAGTGATTGCCGTCAGGAACAACCGGCTTTGCTTCATGATCCGAATCGGGGATCTGAGGAAGAGCATGATCATAGGAGCAACCGTTAGGTTGCAGGTATCTGTCTAGTTTGTTCTGTCCCTTTGGTTTATGTTTTGTTAGTGGAAATCTGCGTGTTCCCCCTGCTGTTTTATTTTTATGCAAATTGTATTAATTATGATAACTGGATAGCAAACCTTTTATAGGATATTTAGGAAATGAAGACCTACCATTTAAAAGCAAAAGCGGTTTACAAATTCCTCATTCTGATAAGTGTTAATTTGTTAACACTGTTAATTTATTGAAAGTGAAACAAGTAGTTAAATAAATAATCATCGTAGTTATTGTCTTCTATCTTGCTACGATATTATTAGCGAATGTTCCTCAGACGTTATTGATGCCAGTCTTGTCTTGGTTATATTCATGCTTAGTAACAGCAGAGGGAGACATTCGATTTCAAATTTTGCCAGAGTAATGAAATAAACTTTTTCTTCCAGTGGCAAACAAATCTCACACAAGTAAGCTCTACTGTTAAAATGCTAATTAATTCAAAGTTTTATTCTAAAGATTCTCAAAAGAAAAAGAAATATCCATTTGCCACTTTTTAAAGTTTAACTGTTTTTTTTAATTGTTTTGCATCTTTATAATGTTTGTTTGAGTTTCTTTCAGTGACTTAATACTATTATAATAATAGAAAAAAGGATAGTCCCCTACGGAGTGGTGTTAAATTGCTAACTAGCTTCTTATCACAAAGCTGCAGCAACTTTGATACTTAAGGAGGTTTTTGATTCTTATAGAGTATGTGCTCTGAAACCATTTTTTTTTCTCATAGATTTAAATGTGTTCAATTGTGTTTTAATTACTTGTATAAACTCCATAGATACATTTCAATATCTTTGTTAATTCTATCTTTTCTTTGTCATCTAAATAATGAGAAAGACTTCTAAATGGCTTGGATTAGCTTAGTCTTTGATTTTGGACCACGTTTGTATGAAATTTCAGTCACAAAGCAGGACAGACAAAAGGTCGAGCTTATTTTGCCTGTATATTTTCTGTGTTATTTAAGTGTTTTTGAGCACATGCAATGTTTTGCCTTTCTGATTTCAGGTGAATTACCTTTACGTAGTTCTTTAAATATGAAAAAAAGAATGTAATTTATGTGAAAGGTTTACCCAAAGTACCCAAATATGATTTGAAATTAAAGTCCTATATGATAGAAACTGTTGCCTATGTGCAGGTGGTGAGAAAGACAACCACACCGGAGGGGGAGGTGATCCCTATCCATCAGATCGATGTCCAGACGGAGAGCGCTGTGGCCAGTAACAGCCTCTTCCTCCTCGCCCCGCTCATCATCTGCCATGTGATAGACAAAAGCAGGTATAGAGAAATGACGTATGCTTTTATGATTTGGGTTTGGAGTTCAACCAAAGTCTCCATTACCTATGGAGAGTTTGTCCAAAGCTAACACAGTAAGACGGGCAAAATCCCCTTCTCTTTGAGGCAATATTTGCTTGTTTTTGCTCACAGTGACACTCTTTTTGCCCACAATTTAAAAGATGAATGTGTATTGATAGATTTTCCTTTTTTTCTTTAAAATATTAAGATAGTCGACAAAATCTGTGAAGAGCATCTCTTACTCTGTGCCTCCTCACCCCGTCTACAACTCTTTCTGTACCTCCTTCTATCCCCACACTCCTGTTTCCTTTGACCAGTGATTTCTTCCTGTGTAGCTTATTGTGGGGTTGATGCTAACTGTAATGTTGTGTCCGCATTGCCAGACGCTTTTGACAAAAGCGTCTCCTAAATGCATAAACACAAACGTAATATCTGGGAGGGATATTTATTGTGGCGCTCATTGACGCCATCTGCTGGACAAGCACAAACATGCACCGAGCGGGGTGTGCCACTGAGGTGTCGGTGTTTTTCGTGCCCTCAGCCCAATGTACGACCTGTCGGCCATGGAGCTGCAGTGCAGTGATCTGGAGGTGATCGTCATCTTGGAGGGAGTTGTCGAGACGACCGGGATCACAACGCAGGCCCGAACGTCCTACGTGTCCGAGGAGATTCAGTGGGGTCACCGCTTTGTTCCCATCGTAAACGAAGAGGAGGGCGTGTATTCTGTGGATTACTCCAAATTTGGCAACACAATCAAGGCAAGTGATGCTAAAAAAAAAGGAAATTTGTAATGACTCTGATTAGAGATTAATTAGAAAGACAATTTAAGTCATTGACTGCCAGCCATTTTCAGAACAGAGTGTCCCATACTGCCAGAGTTTTTTGAGCATTTTGACTGATTTTTCAAGAGCCACAGAATAGTTTGTGCTATGACTATGTAAACACCGAACACACCAAAAGAAAGAGTAGACTTTCTTCTTTCATCAGGAAAAAAAATTGTTTTTACCTTATTCTGTTCTTCCTCAACTTGCGTCTCACCGGCGTCATGTTCTCTCATAGCGAACCGTTACCTTTTTCTTATTTGCTTACAATCTATGCTCATCTCCCATCAAAAGTGGCACTGCCACCTAGAGGATCAATTTGTTAGTACATACTCTGTCTAAAAGCCTGATATTTACGGACAAGCTTTAGCAGATCGTCTCCCAGCCACTCTCGTTGAAAAACATAAAAGACGTCTATTGACGTCTTTGGCAGTCAACGGTTGTATTTGAATTGACGTCTATAGACGTCTTTGGCAGCCAATGAGTTAAGTGAGACAAAAAAACAACAAAAAAACACATGTTCTGTCAATATAGGTGGCAACTCCGCGCTGCAGTGCCAGAGAACTGGATGAGAAGCCGTCCATCTTAATCCAAACCCTCCAGAAGAGCGAGCTGTCGCACCAGAACTCTCTGAGGAAGCGTAACTCCATGCGACGCAACAACTCCATGCGGAAAGGCGGCGGGAGTAGCGGGAGCCTGCGGAGGAACAACTCAGGTCTAGCCTCACCCAAAGTCCAGTTCTTCACCCCCACCGATGGAGGCCAGACCCTGAATGCCATCACCTGACATGAGGCCTGCCTTCTACTGGTGTACCTGCTTCTTTTGTGGGACAGTTTTTTCTTCTGTCCACCCAACCCCCCCCTTATCTCGACTCGTATTTCGACATGTTTACTGCTACAGTTGTCTTTCTGTTCATTAGTGGGTCACCGAACATTTCTCTGCACTGGCACACGCTCACAAAGTAGATCGTAGAAATGATAAATGAGGTCCACTCACACGCTGGCAAATACTTTTTTTTTTTCTTCCCAAAGTCTTGTCAAGTAGAACAGCACTTTATATTCTATATCCCCATATTTGCACATCGAAGCGTGGGTTTTCAACCAGCAAGAGGTTTTGATAGCACAAAAGGGGTTAAATATGAGGAAACGAGCCTGCGTACACTGCTGTCTTAACTCTTTGTACATATACTGGTATTGCTCTTCGTGTCATTTCAGTGACTTGTTCATGGGGGTGCTTCATCAAACCTTGGGCTTTGTTAATTTTTGCTGCTGGGGAAAGATGTACAGCTCGAATAATATTCTGTTTTTTCTAAGTGTAATGACGAACAATGATAACAAGCTGCATCCAGTCATTACTGTACTCTTATTTGTTGTCATTCTTACAAGTTTTTTGTTATTTGAGAATAAATGCACTCACTTAATATAGTTATGAATATATATATGAATATGTATACATACAAGTATATGTATACATATCAGTATATATACATATATAAACATATTTGTAAACCCTTTTTTCTTAAGGGTTTTTCGCACTTACCCATACAAGTAAAGTTACAGTACTGGTGATACATTATTGTTTTGTTTCCATGAACAAATATTTCACATTCGAGTTTGACAAAAAAAAACTTGTAACATATTCCTTGTTGCACTTGTCCAAATCTGAAATACAATAAATATCACTGTTCTCTTCTATATGAAAGTGGTCTGATTCAATCCTGTGATGGTATGATTAATGCGATTTAACCATTTTCTTATGTCTTACTTCTAAAACATCAAGTAAGAAATATATAGAATTTGTTTGAGCGTTTTGGGTTCAGCGAGCACAACGACACCATCCCCTTTAGGCAACAGAGTTTTTTTTTCAATATGTTATATCCCAAATGTTGTTACTATGCAATAACACTTTTATGTGCCTAAACACAGGATATATACATTGAAACACGCTTCCCTTTACAAAAAAAAACTATTTTTTCTTTCAGACATCCATATTTTGGAAAATTCTAATCTATAAAGTGCTGCACTTTAACATTATGTGAAATAAACAGGATGATTTCTTTACCAATTATCAGAATGTATCTAAAACAGGCATCTTGGCTGAAGTAGAGAAATAGCAGCATCATTTTTCATCAAACTGCCAAATTCAGCCCTGTGTTGAACTCCAGGAATGCAAATTTCAAATTAAAACATATCCTGTCACAGCAGGATGCAATAAGTTTTTATTAGCTGCGCAGTAAGAGACAGATCAAACTCCACCCCTTCAGCCTCGTCAGACAGGAAGTAGGCTTGTTTTTTTTCTACTTCACGGAGGAGACCCTCTCTAAGGGAAATAAATTCAGAAATTTCATTTCGAATTACACATTTTCCTTGCAGAAAGGATAACACTCCTACAGGAGACCTTCTGAATGCTGCCAGTGGTAATGTACAGTACCTGCTATTAGGAGCTTTAAGACATTGCAACCAAAAGTGAAACAAACTCTGTGGCCAGAGGAGACATAAACAGAACATGGCTTCTAAATTCGAAGGGTCATGTGTTCTCTGTCATGACATTTGTAAGGATCCATTTACTCTCGCGTGTAAGCACACTTTCTGTTCTGGCTGTTTACGGAGCAACTGGACAGACAAAGACATTTCTGAGTGTCCAGTCTGTAAGAAACGATCCTCAAAGGAAATACCTCCTCTCCTCTTTGCAATGGAGAGTGAAAGTGAGAGAGTTTTACCAGGGAGTGGCTCAGAAGCTGAATCTGCGCCTGTCTGCGGCACGCACTCGCAGAAAGTCGCCTTTTTCTGTTTGGATGATCGGCAGCTGCTCTGCAGCGACTGCAGGGATTCAGAAACACACAGCAACCACACAGTACAACCCACAGGGGAAGCTGCTGAGGAGAGAAAGAAGTCACTTCGGGACTCTTTAAAGCCCGTGAAAAAGAAACTGAGGGTCATTCATCAAGTAAAAGGGAGCTGCGATCAAACAGCAGAGCACATTAAAGTTCAGGCTGAAAACACAGAGAGGAGGATTAAGGAGGAGTTTCAGAGACTTCGTCAGTTTCTAGAGGAGGAAGAGGAGGCCAGGCTGACTGCACTGAGGGAGGAGGAGGAGCAGAAGAGTCGTTTGATGAAGGAGAAGATCGGGGCTCTGAACAGAGAGATCACTGCTCTATCAGATATAGTGAGAGCCACAGAGAAGGAGCTGAAAGCTAAAGATGTTTCATTCCTGCAGAGCTGCGAGGCTGCAGCGGAAAGAGTCCAGCAGCAGCCTCTGCCTGAAGACCCTCAACTCCAACCAGGAGCTCTGATAGATGTGACCCAACATCTGGGCAACCTGAGCTTTAACGTGTGGAGCAAGATGAAGGAGGTGGTGTCGTACAGTCCCGTGATTCTGGATCCAAACACAGCCCATCCACAACTCATCGTGTCCGAGGATCTGAACAGTGTGAGGCAGATAGAGGAAAAGCAGGAGCTGCCCGAGAATCCAGAGAGGATCGACCACTTTATATCTGCGATAGGGTCCAAGGCTTTTGACTCGGGGCGCCACAGCTGGGAGGTGGAGGTAGGAGACAACAATGCTTTTGTTCTGGGGGTGCTCAGTGAGTCAAACGACAGGAAAGGAGTCATATGGCCTGGACTGTGGAAGCTGATGTTCTGCGGTGGAGAATACAAAATACTTTCACCATCAGACACCGGAACCGATGTGTCTGTGATGAAGAACCCCAAGAGGATCAGACTGGTCCTGGACTGCGACGGAGGAGAGCTGTCGTATTACGATGCCCAAACAAACGCACACATATACACCTTCAAAGAGACATTTACTGACAGGATGTTTCCATACATCAGCACCTGGAGCAACGTCCCGATAAAGATAGCAGCACAGGCTGTTTCTGTAGCAGTGGAGACTCCCCCTTAGAGAGTCTACCTCCCCGGTTTTGTCGCACTTTAAAAAGCAGTTATCGTCTCATGCTAAACAGAAACAAGAGATCTAAACGTCCGATGCAAAACCAAAACAATAAGCTAAAGTCTTTTATGTTATATGTCATATCTGTTATTACCTGTGCCAGTAATGATCAAGTGCCGATCTAGCATTAATGTATTTAAAACTTCAAGCGGCTGTTTTTTGTAATTTAGTCTTCATTCCTTCTATTGAGGCCTTATGATGAAACAATCTAACTAGTTTAACTCACTAGCTGAAGCAAAACGAAGGGTGTAAAACTACCCAGAAGCTCCACTTTTTTTGTTGTTGTTTCATATTTCCAGAAGTTGTTGTATTTATAAAGGACTCCTATTATGATCATTTAGCCATACATCCACTTTTATGCCCCTGCCTTATCCAGTTTGGGTTGTGAGGGGTCTATCAACTGTAACAGAAGAGGAGATATGGCAGACATGACCAGGAGACAATCTGACAAGCATCACATTTGGAATGCAGCTTTGACCACATGTGTCAGTCTAAGAGAATGTATTGAACATTACGGTATTTTTAAATGATACTCACAATATAAAGAAGTGATGTAGTTGCTGCAGTTATCTGTGTGTTTATCAGGGAAAGAATATCCAAAATGCATGATCAATTTCTCTACAAGAATCAGCTCTTTTTGGATGTGCACATTTCGTTTTAATGTTTACATTGTTTACATTTTCAGTCCTGTAATCATAATGACTGTATACAGATCTGGGATACAGATCTGGTGGTATGTATTTGTGACAAAGTACTTGTTAGTTTTAAACTTGTCATACCACTGATGCACATGCTATTAATCTAAGGTATTTTCATGTAACTTATCTCTATAAAGGAAAATAAATGTTAAGGTAGCCATTGCAATCCATGTATACATGTGACATTTTCCTTCATTCACACAATAAAGGCATTAGAGCAATTTGTGATTTGTGAGATCTTATTTACGGCTACTAATTGTTAGTTGATTCTGTTTTTTTCCATTAAGACTCAGACTCGGAGGTAGAAAACAGTCCCTAAATTATAAGTTAAAGATATACAGTATGATAACAACAAAGATTGATCAATCATTATTTATTCCACTTTATGGGATATTTTCTTTAATGAATCCAATGTTTAAAAGTAATAAACTGAGAAAATCTCTCCTTTCTGGTCTGATCATGTGAGAAATTTGAACTTCAGAAGGCTTGTTAAACACATAATATGGACTCAATTTATTTATATCAATCCCACCTAATATTTTCCATTTTGTAAATTTGTTGTTCCACTTCCTTCTATTTCTGGGAGTCTTTTATTTCCTGCAAGCAATTTTACATGTCCTCAAAACCGTCTGTAGTGAAATTATAATGGAAAAAGCTATATGGTCCGCTTGTGTTATTGTTTGATTTGAAAGATGCTGCCATCCTGCCCCTAAGGAGGAGCCATGGTGACCCTGGAATTCTGTTCCTGTGTTCCGCAAGATTCTTCAAACCATTTCAAATAGTTAGTAACTTTTCCTAAAATGAATTTAAGTCTTCACTTAAAGACAAGTATTGAGGACCAATCACAGAGCAACTCTTAGTGGTGAAAATAAATAAACTCTCATCAAGGGAAGGACATGGGATTTAGGTGGTCGCTATGTTTCAAACATGTTTTTGACAACAGTGATTATGTTTGAAAAAATAAAACACACACTCAAACATTTGTGTGTAAA